ATTCTATTGAAAGTGATTTCTGAAAAGAATGTTAAGGTAGGAAACATGCATACAAAAAGTAAAGGAAAGGCTAAGAACCAGGGTCCCGATCCACAAAGTGTTCGTAACGTTACATGTCATAATTTTAAAGTTGACCATAGGCTTACGAAGGTCGTAGCGCTACGAACGTTTTGTGGATCGGGACCCAGATATCTTTATTTTTTCAGTCATAAACTGCATTATATAATATATAGTGATTGTGAGTGTGGTACAAGTATATATGCATGAATTGTATTACTGGTAATGTTGGTTGATACAATGCATGCTCTCAGAGTGATGTACATGTATATATGTTATGATGTGTTGAAGCGACAACAGACCAATTTTCCATCTTCTGTTGGTTGTTGACCATAAGCATGAAATGTACGTGTGGCCATCTTGTGATAAATCCTCCCACCAGAGGGCAGTTATCAAATGATTACAACGAGGAGCACATCATAAGCGACATTTAATATAGAAATGTCACATATGCCAGACAATATTTCAGATATATTTCAGGTTAATATGTATTTATCATTAAAAAATGGCTATTGCTGGAACATTTCGCAGTCATTTTAACCAATGACATCACAATCAAATGACATCACAAATCTTTCTGCCTCTGAACCTAGTCAGCTGTATTTTTGACACAGAAGACAATAGTTAATATTGTTCGCAAACTGAAAACAGTGGAAGAGTGATTCTGGATAATAAATGTCCGAAGTGAAATATATAAGCTGGACATAAACTGACACTGTGGTGATCCTATATGAATAATCTTTTGGGTTCAAATGGGAAATACATTTACTTCACTGCATGTTGCAAACCAACCAAGACTTATGGATGCCTGATGCTTATTTTCAAAGCCATTTACATTTCTGAGATATAGTTTTTAGCCCAAGTCGTGCTGTAGCAAACAAATGATTAACCCTAAGGTGGACATTAACTCATTTTTTCAAATAATAAATATGCAGTTTTGTTTCTTAAAATATCCTTGTCAAAGATAGTTAAAAATCACCTAATTCTTTCATATTACTTTAGTATTACCAGCAGACATCCCGCAATGGAAATCTTGTGGTAGGTGAATAACAATTTCAAGAATAGTAATAGTTCACACATTGCCTGCTCATGGCGCTACGTACATTGTTATCCCTGGTCATAGGACACTATCGTACTTTCGGATACTTTTTCAACTCCCTTTTCCAACTCCATGCTGCCTGTTAGGCACAATGAACTTAACACTCACATTGCCAGTAATGCCTATTTCAATTTTGGTGTCAAGATGTGTTTGTCAAAGTCTCTAAATACTTGTTTTAGCAAGACTAGGTGTCCTGCTCCTATTTGTACCTAATCTTTAATGAGATAGATTAGATACTGACTTTTTAACTAAAACATCAGTGTTCTTTTTGTATTTCCAGTTTTTATAATCTTTTTCAATATATACTTGTGAGGTTAACTTGGTGTCAGTGATGTTATAGTCTTCCACCCCTTCACTCATAATGGACTCTCCCAATTGAGCATTGTGGAGTTGACCAATGAATTGTTTATACATACAGAAGTCCATGTACAGTGTACTACCAAGTAACAAACACCGTCAACAATAAGTTCTTGATTACAGATTCATAGGTTCGACCAATTTGTGAAATATTGAAAAAAAATCATTCTCTTATTTGTTTGTTCAAGATTTTCAGATTTTGAATTAAATATTGAATGTTTTCTGCAGTCATTTCTGGAATAATAGTTAATCTCAGTGCGTCTCTTGAACTTCACTTGGTGTTTGCTCAAAACCAGCATATATTTACATCAGTCTGTATATTGTATATTGTGTTGTTGACTTTTGCATATTTCAGTGTTTGTATGCATAAACTACATTTTCTAGTAATGAGAATTTGTGTTGGTTTTCTTTGGAGCAAAAAAAAGTGACAAGACCATGGCCAGCTGGATTGGCGATTTCAACACATCCTACCCAGTCCATTTACTACATTACATGTCCTTTCATATTCGCTTTTTTCAGTCTATACATTTGCATTTCAGTTATTTATGAACTTTCATTTACAAATTAATATGAAACTTGACCTGAAGTCAATGAAGGCGCAAGCTCCAGGCTTGCCCAGAGTTAGTGAGGGAATGTGCTTGTACCACCTTAGCCCGTCCTATCATGGAGTATGCTTCAACAGTTTGGGACCCTCACCAACAGAACTATATCAATATCATGGAAAGTGACTATGGTATTACGCCGATTTTTAGCAATATTCCAGCAATATCACGGCAGGGTACACCAGAAATGGGCTTCACACATTGTTCCCATGTGGGGATACGAACCCGGGTCTTCGGCATAACGAGCTGACGCTTTAACCACTAGGCTTCCCCACCGCCCCCAACACCATGGAGAGATTACAGAAACAGGCAGCCAGATTTGTGTGTAATAACTACAGTGACCGTGACCAAGGATGTGTCACTGCCATGCTACACCATCTTGGATGGGAAACACAACAAACCAGGACAGCCAGGGCCAGAGCTGCTTTCTTCTATAAGATTATCAACATCATTGATGGGGATTACTCAAGGAGTATTCAATCATATTCAAGGAGTTAACATGCACACAAGAGGATCACCCAATAACAACATAGCACAATTAAGAGGAAAATCATAACTGTTCCTACAAAGCTTCCTTCCCACCATCCTCTATATATGTGTTTCAGGCGTCCCTCATGGCTGAACACATCTTTACCATGTGATTGCATAAACTATTTTATATATATGGAAAAGCTCTAAAATATGTTGCGAGCGTACTTGTTTTATGAAAACATAAAACCACAAAAAGACCCTGGACAAGCTAACCCTCACAAGGTTTGTCCCTTCAAGGGAAGAGAGAGACAGTGAAATGTCACATATATAATTATATTACCGTAGAGTAGCCGAAGTTTGAAGACCAAAAAAAGCAGCCTGTAGAAGGGGGTCGGCTTATCTACAGGTAACATTTTCGTCAAACTTCGGACTGAAGTTATAATTATCGGTAACTGCCAGTTGTGTTGTGGTCAGAGTTGGCTGTGATTAGGACCCCATCACAGGGGGTCAGCTTATGGACGAAACATACCATTTTGATACCGATTTCAAATGTCAACTTGGGGGGTCAGCTTATCTATGAGATCGACTTATCTACGGTAATATGCGGTAGGCTTAGTTTTCGTGTCATTGGGTCAAGAGTGTCATTTCCACAGGAATGGCGTGAGAAGTTTCATAAACACTTGGATAGCTAAGGCCACTGTCAATATAAGGGTCTGTGGTGAAGTTTATGAGGTTGCCAGAGGAATTGATCTTTGGATTGTATCATATAGCTCACATGACGATTTGGAGAAGAACTGATCTTCAGTAACCCATGGCTGCTTGCTTATTTTGTGGGCATTTGTCATTGTATCCCAATTGCTTATGATAATGTCTGGACCTGACTCATTTATTGACAAACCACTGCCATACAGCTGTAATGTTGCCATATATTACCCATACAGGCAAGGATACGCAGGTGATTATTTTTGTGATAATCGCACATGTGCTTTTCAGTGATTCTCAACGTTGATTGGTCAGCTAAGCAGAGAAGAAATATGACTGGTTGACGGAACTACTTTTCATGATAATTAGAACGTGCTGTACTCACACATTCCGAGATTTGAAAAAGAAAACAAAGGTTAAAGAATATGAATACTCTTTTTATTAGACAATATTATTTTGCAATATATAACCTTTAAAAAAACCAAAACAATCGTTTGCATTTTTTGTAAACAAACATGCCTGCCATTAGGCTAACCCCCGATAAAGATCAATGACCTAGTTAAAGTTGACGGTGACCTAAAAGGAAGAGAAATAAGAATTTTACAGCCCTTGAATTCCTATAACCTGTTTGTTGTTAAAACTGAATTTGGGGAAATAGATGCAGAAAGATACTGACTAAAGGTGTTACCTGAGAGTGTTACCTGAGAGTGAGTCTGCCACAGTGTCCATGCCATAGAACCACATCCACCATGCACAATATTCCGGGCACAAAAATGTTCAATCAATAAACAGTTATGTCAGTCCATCAATAAATTGTTGTCAAACCCTTGTAACTCCACCACTCTGCCCACTCATCCTCATGCAGCCTCCGACTGCCACCATGACGTCACAGTCTTTATCGCATGCCGTAAATCTTCACTAAATACATACACTGTTCTCAGGTCCAATTTATGGTGGTGTATTCCACTTCAACATCTCGAATGACTCCACTGTCAGTCGACCATCTGCTCCATAGAGGCGTATTCTTCCCATTGACTCGGATTCCAACTAGAGTTATCCTTCTTGGAACTGCTGTACTCTACTGGGAAAAAATATGTGACTGTAACACGCCTTTGACAGAACAAAATGTTGTTAAATCTTTTTCTAGATGTATTCGTGGGATGATTGTCTTTTAGATTTACCAAGTTTTAACAGTTGACTTTCCCAAAAATTTACAGGTTTTCGCCAAAGTGTGTTTCAACACTGCCCCCGTCACTAGACATGAGTCAGTCGAGAATGGACGATGTTCCGGTGCACTGACTTGATCAAATAACGTTTTAGCTGTTAAGGTCTATGATATTGCATTGAAAATTGAAAATTTTATAATAAATTGTATATTAATATACTTATCCTATCTCACGGTATGCACCATCTCTCTCTTCTACGACCATGTGTGGAAACGTGCTGTCAGCTAAGTTGAGTCAAATCTAACTGGCCTCTGACCCGCCCTGACCTCTGCCCTCACCCTGACATCAACGCCTGTCAATCATCCACCAAAGCGTGCAGCTCGCCCAAATGATCACATGACCACTTCTACCTGTCATTCTCGTCTTGGAGCTTCTAGTATTCGGCACTGTGAACATTATTTCAACTCGGGCATATTTCCCGTAATCACTCGTACCTCGTTGGTTATTCTCTAAATGTGGCTGAAAACAACAACAAAAAAGCACACACCATTTGATGAAACTTTTTTAATGACACTCCAAACATGTGTAACATTATTTTTCACAGAGTTCCCCAATAAATATCCAGCCCCTAAATAATGTTTAGATTTTATTTTACAAAACACATTTTCATGAATTTTCAACCAAAATAATATTTACAGTACAAAATATTAATTTGCTTCCGCCGATAAGTTTTGTTTTTTTTTAAATATAGATGTGTCATTTTTGTGACTTCTGCTATCACTGCCATTTTTTCGTCACTAATCCCAATCCGTCTTGTAAATTATCAGTTCCTTTTGAACAAAGCTGTTATTTTGATACATCTTACCAATCCAAAATTCAATTTATTTGTTTCAAACAATGCTGTAAGTCACTCTTGATGCTGAATAAACAAATTCTTTCAGTGATCACCTGGCTAAATATATAACTACATTCAGAGTTAACACATGGTTCATACAACATGTCACTCACATGTTATGTTGCAATATCATTTTATAATTAACAACATCCATTTCCGCTTCATTTTGATTTCACCTAAACTCCACTTTTGTAATTGCTCAGTTCCTAATTTTGGTATCAATCCTACATGGCACAGAAAGTAAACTGTAGATGAAACACAGCTAACTTGTCTGTCAGTTATTGACCATTGTATGGTGTAACCGACATCATAACATGATGCAACATGGCATGTCTTTTCATTGACAAAGCATGATAAACGTCATCCACAAGCATGAGGAGGCAATGCTGTTGTATTCTCTTCTTAAACTTTTGTTATTGTCCGACTGGTGCAGCCTGGCAGATACGACAACGTAGCACCTTTACAGTAACAGGAAAGATATGGTTAGTTACCATGGTAACATACATGTATGGCCGAGCTTGACATGCAAGGTTAGCAGATTCACTTTGCCATATATTAGTCAATAACTGTTTTTATGCTTTTTTTGAAAGACATCACGAACCAGCAGGTTGTGATCTTGTGATGGTAACTATGGCAACTGTGACATTGTCACCACTGAATCTTAGAACAGCATCATTGGCGAGCTTGTTACATGCTGCTTCATACATGGTGTCTGCCGAGGCCTTCTTGTCTTCTCCTCTCGGCTGGAAAATGAGACAATATTATGACATGATGACTGGTGACAGAGATATCAAGGAGAGTCCTAGATCTAATTGGTGATGGTGATCACCAGATTGTTTTCTTATCAGTGCAACCGTGAAGATCCAGGAAAGAATTGATCTTCAGCAACCCATGCTTGTCATAAGAGGCGACTAACGGGATTCGGTGGTTAGCCTCGATGACTTGGTTAACATGTCATTTAGTCCCAATTGCATAGATCAATGATTATGCTGTTGATCACTGGATTATCTGGTCCAGACTCGATTATTTACAGACCGCCGCCATATAGCTGGAATATTGCTGAGTGTGGCGTTAAACAACAAACCAAGTAAGCTCAGCTAATGTATATCCGTATGACAACACTGAAATCAGGGCAAATGGACTGAAAAGATGCAGGCACATACTGTGGTGGCCATGTGGATAGAGCACCTGTTCATCTGGTCCAGACTCAATTAGTTACAGATAGCCATCATACAGCTGGAATATTGCTGAGTGCAGTGTTAAACAGACAGGTGAAGATCAATTAAACACGGATCTTCACGGGTACATGCAACCAATCAGTCAGACAAGAATTATTCTAACCTAGTACCAACAGCTTACTCTGTCTCTGTAGAATGTACTACCCTCAAAACACATGCGGAGTTTATCATAAAGTATCTATAAGAGTGAAACATTATGTGATACCCTCACCTGTGAGTTCACAATGTCGTTGACCAGGCCCCGATTTCTCGAAACAAACTTTAAGAGTTTTTGCTCAGCAATTGAGAAAATGCAGAAAAATGCATTTCCCAAAATGAACTTAAATTGATATTAAACTCAAACAGAGTTGACAATTTGAGTTTGGTGGATAGATTACTTAAGTTGTTTGGGCTTTTTTATTTTTTATTTTAAAAATGCAGTTGAGTTAATAATTTAGTGTTTGAACTTTGAGTTTGTTTCAAGAAATCAGGGTCAGGTTGACACGGTCATACACTAACCTGTGAGTTGAATGCTGTTGATAAGGTCTACAATGTCATACACTCACCTGTTACTTGACAAGATCTACAATCACCTATCAGATGAGAATGCTGTTCACCTGTGAGTTGACGATGCTGTTGACGAGGTCTACACTCACCTGTGAGTTGACAATGCTGTTGACGAGGTCTACACTCATCTGTGAGTTGACGATGATGTTGACGAGGTCTACACTCACCTGTGAGTTGACGATGCTGTTGACGAGGTCTACACTCACCTGTGAGTTGACAATGCTGTTGACGAGGTCTACACTCACCTGTGAGTTGACAATGCTGTTGACCAGGTCTACGCTCACCTGTGAGTTGACGATGCTGTTGACGAGGTCTACACTCACTTGTGAGTTGACGATGCTGTTGACGAGGTCTACACTCACCTGTGAGTTGACAATGCTGTTGACAAAGTCTACACTCATCTGTTAGTTGACAATGCTGTTGACGAGGTATTCGCTCACCTGTGAGTTGACAATGCTGTTGATGAGGTCTACACTCACCTGTGAGTTGACGATGCTGTTGACGAGGTCTACACTCACTTGTGAGTTGACGATGCTGTTGACGAGGTCTACACTCACCTGTGAGTTGACAATGCTGTTGACAAAGTCTACACTCATCTGTTAGTTGACAATGCTGTTGACGAGGTATTCGCTCACCTGTGAGTTGACAATGCTGTCGATGAGGTCTACACTCACCTGTGAGTTGACAATGCTGTTGACGAGGTCTACACTCTCCTGTAAACTGAAGCTCTTCCACAGACCATCACAGGCTAGAAGCAGGAACCTGGAATCATGCAAGTCACTTCAGATCCACACCCACCAGGCCACAACAAATTAACAACTGCATTTATAAATTTCTTTTAGCATTGTGGGAATATCATCGCATTTGGAGTCAGTACTAGGTAACTTTAGCTACTGGTCCCAAGCCCAAGAATAGTAAACTCGTGTTTGATCTAGCAAGTTCAGCCACCATGAAGATCCGGGTTAGAATTGGTCTTTAGCAACCCATGCTTGTCGTAAGAGGCGACTAACAGGATCAGGTTGACACATGTCATCATATCCCAAAAGCGTAGATTGATGCTAATGCTGTTGATCACTGGATTGTCTGGTGCAGACTCAATTATTTACAGACCGCTGCGACATAGATGTAATACTGCTGAGTGCGGCGTTAAACTACAACAAACCAAGTAAGTGTAGCTAATAATATCCGTATGACAACACTGAAATGATGCCAAGAGCCAAGTCAGGGCAACTGGACTGAAAAGATGCAGGCACAGACTGTGGTGGCCAAGTGGATAGAGCACCTGCTCATCATGAGTCTAAAACAGAGGCTGTAGTTTGTTTGTTCTGTGTTCATCATATATCTACAATATCTATCTCTATGACAGCAGCCTGTAAATAATCATGTCTGTACCTCCAAGTTCAGAGATTAAACTGCATTGATAGTTTCAGCAACAACTCGTGCCATTGGTCAAGACCTATCTTGACCAGCCAATCAGTGGAGTTGCCCAACTCTAGCCTGGAGTGAGTGAGCGGGGTAAACCAGAAATGGGCTTCACACATTGTACCCATATCGGGAATGGAACCCAGGTCTTTGGTGTGATGTGCGAACGCTCTAACCTATAGACTACCCCACCGCCCCTCTTGCCGGGAATACACACAGGGTGAAACTCCAGTTTGGTTACCCCAATAGAACACATCCATTTCAAAATATCATTTGCATTCTTTGATTCTTCCTCGAGATATTTCATTCTACAGAAATTCCTTGGAATCATGCACTGAAATACGACAAAACTAACCGATCTTGATCGGTAAGTTGGCAGCGCTTGACATCAGGAAGACAGATGACGCCATGATTCTTGTAAGGCCCGTCCCCGATAGACCGGGATACCTCCAGCTGCCCCATCACTCGACCCTCTCTGAAACAACAGTTGCATGTACTGGTTAACTTATTTTGTTTATTATTAAACAACCCGAGTGGAAAAAACCCAGCTTTGTAAACTATATGAGAGGGTGTGTGTGTCTTGTTTGCAAGTGTGTGCCTGGCTTGCGTGCATGAGTGTGTGTATGTCTGAGTGTGTGTCTGTGTGTGCATTTATGTCTGTGCATGCATGCATGTTTCTTTTCTCTGAATGCGTGTGTATGTGCAGTGTGTGTCAGCATGTGTGAACTGTTATAACCCAAGGCTAGCAACATTTCAGTTGGGCTCCAGGATATTTTTATGCACACCTCTAAACAGATCAAAATGATAAACGAGTGTTTTCTTCTGATCTGTTCATCAAAATCAGAAAATATTAAATTTTATCATATATATCACAGTTGCAGGATCAAGGTTACCCCACCTCCCAAATTCATAGATTGATGCTCACTGTGTTAATAATCACTGGATTGTCTGGTCCTAACTAAATTTTACAGACTTTCATCATTTAACTGGAATACTGCAGAGTGCAGCTTCAAACAAACAACAAACAAACCACCTTCAGAATATCAGAAATATAATTGCCATTTGGGTTCACATTATTGATGCCTTCGCAAAATCAAATTTCTGGAAACATAAGTATCCCAGGTTGTTTAAGAGGGGATAACTGTGTCTTCAAATACAGAAGTCCATCAGTGGGTCCACAACACTTTTATTCGTGATTCAATATGTATACATACATAATGTTACAACAATGACTAGGCGGCATGTCGGAGGCGATGATCAGCCAACCTGCCTAGTCGCTGTCTCCGGGTCAAGTCTCGACTAACACAAAGCATTCTCAATTTATCCCTAAGGGTCTGATCAGACTGTCACCTGTCGCATTTACGACAGATGTGTGGTCAGCCTGCAGTATCCCGCACATCATCCACAATGTCATGCTTCAGTGGCCAACCGGCCTTTGTCTAACTTTGATTATAGGCAGCTAATGACTCTATGGTGGTGGCCATGATGACAATGATCAAGTTGTGTTGATTTCATTTCCATTGACAGCATGGTCATTACTTAGAGAGATATTCAATTTGCATAACTCAAGGAATATCATAAATATCCCTGATAAATACTGTTTAAATGTGCCTACGATATAAGTTTATTATCCCCCGTAACAACGAAGCTGATGGGGATATAGAAAGGAGTTCCGTCTGTCCGTGCATCCGTCCGTCACACTTTGTCCGAAGCATATCTCCTAAACTATTGGTGATAGCTTAACCAAACTTGGTAAACATGTCAATCATGATCCCTAGATGTGCCTTTTGGGGTTTAGACCCACATATGAAGTTTATTTTTTGCTGTTTCCATGGAAACATGACTTATGCTGTGACTATGAGGATGTCATCTTGTCCGGAGCAGATCACCCAAACTATACATGCTAGCTTCATCAAACTTGGTACATATGTCAAGCATGATCCCTAGATGTGCCTTTTGGGGGTTAGACCCAGATATGAATTATATTTTTTGTGGTTTCCATGGAAACGTGACTAAGGCTGTGACTATGAGGATGTCATCTTGTTGCATTTCCATGGCAACAAGTTAGGCTTCAATTGAATTTGATAGTAGTGCTCCTCTCTGGAGCAGATCTTAAAAACCTTTCAATACTCTCCTTCCACTTTGCTGTATACACTCCAAAACATTTGACATTATCATAACTAGTAGACATATTCATAAAGAGTATTTTGCCGTTGAGGGTGATATTGATGACTTTGTCTTCTTGTTAAATTCGAAACTTTCAAGACAAACTAGTCCACCTCCTGGAGAGAGATATTCTGCTTCACACACTTACCTGGGTGCTGTTGTACAAAACAACCTTAGCGCTAAGACTACCTTAAGCTTATGTTAAGGAATGGCAGTTTCAGTCACCTTAGCACCAAGATCGTTTTGTACAACGGTACACATATATATACAGCTGACAATGGGGAATGTGGGGACCTATTCTACCCAACAGGAATCCTCAGCTCACCTGACATGTCCGCCAGATTTCTGTATTCTCATCCTCTCCTCGTACACACCGGGACTATGATCTGTCGACAAGGGCACGGCAACACACTTTCCTTGGTCTTCCTTGTAGCGACACAAGATGGACTGAAGGAATAGATTAGCTAACAACAAATCATCGTCATGGCTGTTTAGATTATCCCTTATTGTTTGATCGGCATTTTAGAAGTTGGTGAGTCAATAAATTAAGCATACAACTTAAAAGATGACAGCTTCTTGTTAATTGTATAGAGCAACGTTTCCGATGTAGATTCTTATACCATTATCAAGCTAAAAGTTTCGATGTTGATTCTTACACCGTTATCAAGCTAAAAGTTTTAGAAACTCTCATGAGTCAAGCTGCCAAACATGGTCAACCATCCAAGGACTCTCTGTGACCAACTGATTTGTGACCTAGGCTCTATGTACAAGACCTGTGAAGGTCCGGGTTAGAATGAACCTTCAGTAACCCATGCTTGTCATATGAGGCGACTAACGGCATCGGATGGTCAGGCTCGCTGGCTTGGTTGACACATGTCATCAGTTCCCAATTGAGCAGATCGATGCTCATGCTGTTGATCACTGGATTGTCTGGGCGAGACTCAATTATTTACAGACCGCCGCCATATAGCTGGAATATTGCTGAGTGCAGCGTAAAACTAAACTCACTCACTCTATGCACAAGACCACACAACACCACGGCTTAACACCACTACTTAGCAACCCACGTATATCGCCAACTGTCAACATGTGGGCGGGCTGCCCAAAAGGATGCAGGTGACAGATATGTACCACTTTGGTGAAACATACAAGCACAGGTACAGTGCTGACAAACCTGGAAACACAACTGTCTCAAACCAACTATTGTAAGTTTCAGGCATTCCCAAGGGAAGCAACTCTGCATATATTTATATCAACCTAACCAAACTAATCATGCTAACAACAGCGAACAAAAGCCATAAGATGACAGTGGCCTTAAAATATATTCCTACCTTGCTATCTCCAAGGTTTGCAATAAACAGTGTTTCATTGATGACAAGCACAAGAATAGCTGTGGTGCCATCCTTCCAAGTGGGTTTACTGAAATACAAGTTCAAAACATTAACTCATACATTTCGTCATTCATGCAAAACATGACACCACTTCCTGAACTTCAATATGCTCTTGCTGAGCAGACCAGTGTAATTATTTTACTTTGAGTGAGTTTACTTTTACGCCGCTTTTTATTTTACTTTGAAACCATTGATTTCACATACTGCCAGAGAATCAAAACATTAACAGGCCTATTTGTTTGGCATCAAATTTCATTAGGTGAAGAGGAAGAGTTGATTTTTCTGCACTGATTTCAGAAGATTTTGTTCAGGTGTGTAGCCATAAAATTGAATCAATCAACATTGGCAGCATATTTCCTATTTGGGATCACACTCTCTCAGTAAAGTTCAGATTCTTGTAGTTGTTTTGCACACAAAGTCAGACAGCCATCTAACCCACTCATCCAGCCATCTAACCCACTCATCCAGCCATCTAACCCACTCAGCCATTGCAGTGGCTGTGCCGATTACACTTGTCATAGGGGAAAACAAAGCATGTGATCTAGACTATCAGTTGTTTGTGGAAGCTGCATGGGTGAGATAGTTGACTTTGTAGGTTGGCTATTATGTGTCTTACTCTAGGGAGTGGGTTCAAATCCCGGATAGGACTCAACCTAACACAAGTACTAGAATCTATACTTCACCAAGAAAGTGTACTCCAAAATATAACATGTGTTGTATTCGACCACTTTCTAAAAGGCACTGTGTATTCAAACAACATCAGGTTTCATAAATGAATAAGTAATAGTTATTTCCATACTTTCCTACATCTAGTTGTTCGGCTGTGGGGCCCTCCTACAGTTTTGCTCAGAGGGCCTCACGAGCAAAACTGTAGGTGTATGGGCCGACACACCAAGGAAAGTATGGAAACAAACTATTTACACCTCACTTGTAGGCGAGTACTACAAGTAGTGTAATTTATGTCCAATATAATATATTTTCACAAAACATTTCCTTTTTGGAGCCCCTATCTAAACAATGCGGCTGTTGTCGATATCAACAGCGTGGGCGTTGCCATGACATTGCACGTGAATCTCGCTAAGTAGTCATGCCATGGCTCTGCTCCCATGCATTTCACACGTTGTATTTGGGTAAACCATTTCAGAGAATGATTTTTAGTTTTGTGCTTTGGATGGAATCTAAACTTTGCAATATAACTTGTAGTCTTAACTTTAAGATGCGCATTTCCATAAAAAAAATTCTTATCTTTAACTAGCTAAAATTAAGGTTCGAAAAGTTTTCAACTGTAGTTTAATTGACAGTGGTTTAGTGGTAGTGTTTTCGGATACACTTCGTGGAGTCGTGCAAACAAACGCAACAATGCACCTGACTTGGCCACTTGATAACACGTGATCATGAGCGTGCACTGTGTGCTTTCACGATGGAGATGAGCGACAGTGAAGACGCCATTTTGTCAGAACTTCACAGGACATTCAGGAAAGGTATGTGAATATGAATTTGTAATATTGTTCATATCGTTCGACATTATAGCATCTGAATATAAAATGTTTTTGATGCTGGTAAAATGGCTCGCAAATATTGCAAGTATCGTTACAATAGTTCAGCTGCGTATGCATTCTTTGAATCGTTTTTTATTTGGTTTCAGGTTACCACAGTTACACGTCTTTGTGGGAATAAGGTCGATGAACAATTGGTCATGGAACGAACAGGCCACAGAAGCTCGGCAGTAAGGCTGTACAAGAGAACTTCTGACGGTCTTCAGAAGGAGATATCGGACATGCTGCAACCACCAGCACCAGACACGAAGGCCACAGGTACATCTTCCCCACCATCAAAGAAGATTGCAATCGAGACAGCAGATAATCAAGATGCCGCTAATGAACAGCGAATCAAATTTACATGTACTAACTCCGTGGGAAACATCATTAATATCAGTTTGTAACAGGTCCAGAATAAATGACTAAAATCATTCTTGTTGTTATTTTTAGAAGTATAACAAAACTGTAGGTGTATGAAAAACGGTAGGTGTATCGGCTCATACACCTACAGTTAGAACAAAGGTATCCCATGACAATGAGCCACAAGTGAGGTGTAAACAAACTTGACACAAACCCAAGAACCAAGAGCAATGGATTTTCTAACAGATCTACATAGTAACTACGTAGCCATTAAATATAATTAACACAGCTATTCCAACTATATGGTGGCAGTCTGTAAACAATCAGTCTGGACAATCCATTGATCCAGTGTAGAGCACTGATCTACGCAGTTGGGATACCATGACTTGTGTCAATCTGGTAAGCCTAAGGGGCCACAACTCCATACAGTGAACTGGTGCCTTAGTTGCCACGGCCACCATGTCCCTTTATATGAGAGACAGTAAACAAATATGTACATGTATGGGCGAAAAATGCAGAGAGTGATGAGTCATCATCTTGGTCAGAAGGGTTCCATTGGGTGTGATGTCTTCTTCTGTTCTTGGGGAGTGAGTGAGTGAGTGAGTATGGTTTTACGTCACTTTTAGCAATATTCCAGCAATATCACGGCAGGGGACACCAGAAATGGACTTCACACATTGTACCCATGTAGGGAATCGAACCCGTGCCTTCAGCGTGACGAGCGAACGCTTTAACCACTAGGCTACCCCACCGTCCCCTGTTCTTGGGAAACATAACACAGAAAGTTTAAACTTTATCTCCGGAGAAAGGAGAAAGAAGCAGTTAGAATGAGTCAGGATAAGGTAAAATATATTACTTTTTTGTAGCTTGTTTGAGGAAATCTTCATCAGTTTTCTTAAATGCCTCGATAAAACATTTCTTTATGTCTCTCTCCACCTGGGACACGTCTCCTGAAAGTAAATGCAGTTCAGCAATTAATATTTGACAAAGACTTAAACTGAGACAAGATGTGATATTCCCTACAAATTGTCATCTTGAAGCATCTACATGATCTAAATTATGGCGACTGAATTATCTTTGACAGGGCTCGACTTAGCTGAATAAAACAAGCACCAGGACGTCATATTATTGAAAAGCGAAACCTAGAAATTACGTCTACATATGCACCAAATTATCCTTACACTGATCTTTGAACACGATCAGCACCTCTTAGTGTTAGCTTTTAGTACCATAGCAATCAATCTCTTGTTATGTGTAATTTGTGATGCTTCCTTGGATGGGTGCCTCAAAACGATGTGCACATACCTATTGGTTCACAATCAAATGTGATAAATTCATATGAAATATGACATTTATCACACATTTGAGATTCCAGTCATTTAGACTATTTCATGCAAAAATGTGTCACCTTTACAGGACCACAACCCACCTGGTTTCGTCTTGTGCCAGTAAGTTTTCATGTCAAAATGTGCATGGTGCTAATAAGATAAAGTTCTGTAAATTGAGCCCTGCTGACACTTCAATATACTTTGAATTCAGAAATGTATTGAACAATGTCTATCATGAAAGATACACATAATAGCTAATCAGTTGATGTTAGGCATCTCATATTTGCAGGTTTAGTTTTGGGGATTACCCTTCGGAAACCTATCCCGCAGATTTCGTGGGAAAACCTGGCATGCCAACCTGGAAGCTCTGCTGCCCCCGTGTCCATCGAAGACCCCAAAGAGAGACAAGCGATAGCTGAAACAATAAAATGGATCTAGAACGTCGCCAAATACTACACATCCTTCACACAAAGCTAACTTACAAACCATGTCAGGACAGGGATCTGCTCACATGGAAGGGTGGAAGTCAAGGATCTACTCACATGGAAGAGTGGAGGTCAGATCTACTCACATAAAAGGGTGGAGGTCAGATCTACTCACATGGATGGGTGGAGGTCAGATCTACTCACATGGAAGAGTGGAGGTCAGATGTACTCACATGGATGGGTGGAGGTCAGATCTATTCACATGGAAGGGTGGAGGTCAGATCTATTCACATGGATGGGTGGAGGTCAGGACTGCTCGTATGGATGGGTGGAGGTCAGATCTACTCACATGGATGGGTGGAGGTCAGATCTACTCACATGGAAGGGTGGAGGTCAGGATCTACTCACATGAAAGGGTGGAGGTCAGATCTACTCACATGGAAGGGTGGAGGTCAGGATCTACTCACATGGAAGGGTGGAGGTCAGGATCTACTCACATAAAAGGGTGGAGGTCAGGATCTACTCACATGGAAGGGTGGAGGTCAAGATCTACTCACATGAAAGGGTGGAGGTCAGATCTACTCACATGGAAGGGTGGAGGTCAGGATCTACTCACATGGAAGGGTGGAGGTCAGGATCTACTCACATGAAAGGGTGGAGGTCAGGATCTACTCACATTGATGGGTGGAGGTCAGATCTATTCATGTGGAAGGGTGGAGGTCGGGATCTACTGACATGGAAGGGTGGAGATCAGGATCTACTCACATGGAAGGGTGGAGGTCAGGATCTACTGACATGGAAGGGTGGAGGTCAGGATCTACTCACATGGAAGAGTGGAGGTCAGGATCTACTCACATGGATGGGTGGAGGTCAGATCTATTCACATGGAAGGGTGGAGGTCAGATCTACTCACATGGAAGGGTGGAGATCAGGATCTACTCACATGGAAGGGTGGAGGTCAGATCTATTCACATGGAAGGGTGGAGGTCAGGATCTACTCACATGGAAGGGTGGAGGTCGGGATCTACTCACATGGAAGGGTGGAGGTCAGGATCTACTCACATTGATGGGTGGAGGGGTCGAGATCTAGTCATGGAAGGGTGGAGGTCAGGATCTACTCACATGGAAGGGTGGAGGTCAGATCTACTTACATGGAAGGGTGGAGGTCAGAATCTACTCACATGGAAGGGTGGAGGTCAGGATCTACTCACATGAAAGGGTGGAGGTCAGGATCTACTCACATCGATGGGTGGAGGTCAGGATCTACTCACATGGAAGGGTGGAGGTCAGGATCTACTCACATGAAAGGGTGGAGGTCAGGATCTACTCACATGGAAGGGTGGAGGTCAAGATCTACTCACATGAAAGGGTGGAGGTCAGATCTACTCACATGGAAGGGTGGAGGTCAGGATCTACTCACATGGAAGGGTGGAGGTCAGGATCTACTCACATTGATGGGTGGAGGTCAGATCTATTCACGTGGAAGGGTGGAGGTCGGGATCTACTGACATGGAAGGGTGGAGATCAGGATCTACTCACATGGAAGGGTGGAGGTCAGAATCTACTCACATGGAAGGGTGGAGGTCAGGATCTATTCACATGGAAGGGTGGAGGTCAGGATCTACTCACATGAAAGGGTGGAGGTCAGGATCTACTCACATTGATGGGTGGAGGTCAGATCTATTCACGTGGAAGGGTGGAGGTCAGGATCTACTCACATGAAAGGGTGGAGGTCAGATCTACTCACATTGATGGGTGGAGGTCAGATCTATTCACGTGGAAGGGTGGAGGTCAGGATCTACTCACATGAAAGGGTGGAGGTCAGATCTACTCACATTGATGGGTGGAGGTCAGATCTACTCACATGAAAGGTTGGAGGTCAGGATCTACTCACATGGAAGGGGGGGGTGTCTCATCTACTCACATGGAAGGGTGGAGGTCAGGATCTACTCACATGGAAGGGTGGAGGTCAGATCTATTCACATGGAAGGGTGGAGGTCAGGATCTACTCACATGGAAGGGTGGAGGTCAGGATCTACTCACATGAAAGGGTGGAGGTCAGGATCTACTCACATTGATGGGTGGAGGTCAGATCTATTCACGTGGAAGGGTGGAGGTCAGGATCTACTCACTTGAAAGGGTGGAGGTCAGATCTACTCACATTGATGGGTGGAGGTCAGATCTATTCACGTGGAAGGGTGGAGGTCAGGATCTACTCACATGAAAGGGTGGAGGTCAGATCTACTCACATTGATGGGTGGAGGTCAGATCTACTCACATGAAAGGTTGGAGGTCAGGATCTATTCACATGGAAGGGTGGAGGTCAGATCTACTCACATGGAAGGGTGGAGATCAGGATCTACTCACATGGAAGGGTGGAGGTCAGATCTATTCACATGGAAGGGTGGAGGTCAGGATCTACTCACATGGAAGGGTGGAGGTCGGGATCTACTCACATGGAAGGGTGGAGGTAGGATCTACTCACATTGATGGGTGGAGGTCAGATCTAGTCACGTGGAAGGGTGGAGGTCAGGATCTACTCACATGGAAGGGTGGAGGTCAGATCTACTTACATGGAAGGGTGGAGGTCAGGATCTACTCACATGGAAGGGTGGAGGTCAGGATCTACTCACATGAAAGGGTGGAGGTCAGGATCTACTCACATGGATGGGTGGAGGTCAGGATCTACTCACATGGAAGGGTGGAGGTCAGGATCTACTCACATGGAAGGGTGGAGGTCAGGATCTACTCACATGGAAGGGTGGAGGTCAAGATCTACTCACATGAAAGGGTGGAGGTCAGGATCTACTCACATGGAAGGGTGGAGGTCAGGATCTACTCACATGAAAGGGTGGAGGTCAGATCTACTCACATTGATGGGTGGAGGTCAGATCTATTCACGTGGAAGGGTGGAGGTCGGGATCTACTGACATGGAAGGGTGGAGATCAGGATCTACTCACATGGAAGGGTGGAGGTCAGAATCTACTCACATGGAAGGGTGGAGGTCAGGATCTATTCACATGGAAGGGTGGAGGTCAGGATCTACTCACATGAAAGGGTGGAGGTCAGGATCTACTCACATTGATGGGTGGAGGTCAGATCTATTCACGTGGAAGGGTGGAGGTCAGGATCTACTCACATGAAAGGGTGGAGGTCAGATCTACTCACATTGATGGGTGGAGGTCAGATCTATTCACGTGGAAGGGTGGAGGTCAGGATCTACTCACATGAAAGGGTGGAGGTCAGATCTACTCACATTGATGGGTGGAGGTCAGATCTACTCACATGAAAGGTTGGAGGTCAGGATCTACTCACATGGAAGGGTGGAGGTCAGATCTATTCACATGGAAGTGTGGAGGTCAGATCTACTCACATGGAAGGGTGGAGGTCAGGATCTACTCACATGGAAGGGTGGAGGTCAGATCTACTGACATGAAAGGGTGGAGGTCAGATCTATTCACATGGATGGGTTGAGGTCAGGATCTACTCACATGGAAGGGTGGAGGTCAGATCTACTCACATGAAAGGTTGGAGGTCAGGATCTACTCACATGGAAGGGGGGGTGTCTCATCTACTCACATGGAAGGGTGGAGGTCAGGATCTACTCACATGGAAGGGTGGAGGTCAGATCTATTCACATGGAAGTGTGGAGGTCAGATCTACTCACATGGAAGGGTGGAGGTCAGGATCTACTCACATGGAAGGGTGGAGGTCAGATCTACTGACATGAAAGGGTGGAGGTCAGATCTATTCACATGGATGGGTTGAGGTCAGGATCTACTCACATGGATGGGTGGAGGTCAGGATCTACTCACATGGAAGGGTGGAGGTCAAATCTACTCACATGGGTCAGCATCTACTCACATGGAAGGGTGAAGGTCAGGATCCACTCACATCAAAATCACTCACATGGAAGGGTGGAGGTGGATCTACTCACATAGGTCAGCTACTCACATGGAAGGGTGGAGGTCAGGATCCACTCATAATGGAAGGGTGGAGATCACATCTATTCACATGGAAAGGTGGAGGTCAGGATCTACTCACATGGAAGGGGGGTGGGGGTGGGGGGTGTCACATCTACTCACATTAAAGGGTGGAGGTCAGGATCTACTCATAATGGAAGGGTGGAGGTCAGATCTACTCACATGGAAGGGTGGAGGTCAGGGATCTCCTGGTGATAGTTGTGCAGCATGAAGTGAGCATCCTGCATCTCTTCCCTCTCCCCTTTCCTGTCGGCCACAAAACTCTTCAGGCTGTACTTGGCTGTGAGTGTGAACAGGTAACATGTCATATCATGGAGAAAAAAAGGTCTTGTGCCTCTTTTGTAAACATTACTAATTTACTAGCCTTGAGACAAGTCTACGTAATCAGGTTAATAATCCAAAGAGATGTTTTTATCACAAAATTGATATTTGAATGCACATGATTTTCGTTTTATTTAGAAATCAGGTTTTTCCTACTCAAGGTTCTTCAGGAGAGACATGATGAAATTAGTGCTCATTGCGTGACCATTATGGAACAAACACTTTATGCTTTGAACAGCCAGTGCTGCCTGCAATGATTACTTGCAATATGTTGCACAACAGGCTACACTATACCCTGATTAACGAATCAGACAGAATTTCCAAGAAGGGTAATCGTAATCATTTGAATAACAGTAATGTTTGACTGTCTGGTCAACCACACTATGTTTTCACTGTCTCAAAGGTATACTTAGAACCTTTTAGGGATAATTTATAAACACTGGCAAATAGTCTGCAAAAAATTGTAAGGCTGTCCGTGGAAAATTTGTTTGTCCAGTGATATCATGTAACATATCAGACATCCACATCCTTGACCAGTTTTAAGGAGCATATAATATCATCTTAAGGTCATGATAAACAACAACACATATAAAAATCATACCACATGATTTTAAGCGCACATTCTTCTGATGACTGTCCTCCTCTGTGCTCTTCCGTTTCTCGCCCTTCTTCCTTTCTTCGCCTGGAATATTTGACGATGGCAAATCATCAAATAATCCAACCCCAGCATGGCTTGTGTTATTGAAGAAAGCAACTTCACTGGGCTCCACATTTACATCTACAAATGGACAGAAACACTGAATAATATTTTATGAATATAAAATAATACTTAACAAATATATAACAGTCCTACTATTACAGTAACAGAACAAAAGTGGGCCCTGGGACCATAGCTATTCTCTTAAAAAATCATTTCTATCTTGGAGCCCATGTACAAAATGTACATCATAAATGTTTAGTATTGTTTTATTATAAACATAAAAGTCTGGTCCAGACTCGATTATTTACAGACCACCATCATATAGCTGGAATATTGCCTGGTGGGGCGTAAATCTAAACTCACTCACTCACTCACTTTAGACATTAATGCTTTTACCAACTTCCCACATTTGTAAAATATTCAGTCACACACATTGCTGTTCCTTCACAGTGTCACACACACTCACATGTGTCAGTTTCAAATTATTTGTAATTTACAACATGTTGGTGAGTAGAAGTAAAGTTTTACATACCACTGCCATATCCTAATTAGCCAATTTGAATTAATAATAATCGGGCCACTGAAGTAAATCTGTTTCCGTTTCCATAACACTTCGTAATCCAACATTTTGATCAAATCTGTAGGTCACGATACTCACCATTATATTACTACTATGAATGTCGCCTAACTGTCATTGAGTACATAATGTTGATACAAAATGAGTTGGCATTGCATCAATAGTTTCCGAGATAGGCTGGCATAGACACGTAACGCGACACTACGTCGGTGCGATGCTTATACAGAAGTACGTAAATTGAGGCGATCAGTTTTGATGTACACACCTGACCAGTACGCTATCTTACGTCAGTGTAATATTTGACATCTGGGCAGCTGGCATCAGGTTATTGTTTGCAATTATCGTTAAAAGACAACCAAATGTATTAAAAACACACCTTGTAAACCTCCGCTTGCAGGTTCAGGCAAATCTTCGAAGAGGTCCATTTCCCTCGCAACATCGGTAAGCTCGCTTCCTCTAAACGGAAGTGCGCACTGTGGTTTTCTTGATTAACCCATTTGCCAAATGTCGACCGGGAGTAAAGCTCAGCTGTCAGAGTTTCGAACGAATTATGCTGCATAAGCAGTTGCTACTTATGTTTCACATAATTCATAATTTACACGCAGAACGATTGCATTTATGCGCCGGTAAAGCTTTGTGGAAATATTTTAATTCTTTTTTCATTTCTGGTACGCCTTTTATCTAGAAAGTAACACTGTGAATCTGGAAACGAAGTTGGATTTCGTAATACGATAAGCGCGTCGTGATTCCAAAATACCTGTCTGCGGGTTCCCTGGACCAAGTGCGTCCAGCATTAAAGAGTGTAAATTTATTGCCATGTTAAGATGAGCATCGATCAGAGTATTAAATATAAGAACTACTATTTATCAAAGCCAAGCTCTCATTAAATTTTCTATCAATCTTTATTTCAGTACTTAATAAGGCCTATAGAACATTACAAAACAAAATTCAATCAGAAAAAATATACAAATATATTAAACAGATCACACAGCTGAATTGCAGGCTCTCATTTTGTATTTATGTTATTTTTGTGCATGGAAGTTGGATGAATTTTCACAGGTCCGTTTCCACGAACAGCAGGACCAGACAATCGAGACCAAATTTGGCTTTTCTTTATTAAACATATAAGGTCCAATTTTATCACTCTGTCATATCGTGCACCTTCTGAAATGTCCATGAATAGTTTATTCTATTACTATCAATAGTGTCAGTATTCATTTACCACCATGTTTGCTATTTATATATTTTATGCCTTTTAGTGTAAGAACGTGAATGTGTGTGTGTTTGTGTGTGTGTGTGTGTTGGTGTGACTTCATTATCAATGTTTTTATATAACTGTGATATTTGTGTCTCATAGGCCAAATGGCCGGATGTACTGTTTTTAAATCCCTGGTACAACGAAATGTCTGTTATTGTAATTCAACATGTGACACAACAATAAACTATATTTCTTCTTATTCTTCATGATTTATTCTTTGACGTCTTCTATGTAGGCTAAATCTAGTAGAGACCACTCTTTACACTTTTTGGTACGATTTATGTAATGAGTGAATGAGTGAGTTTAGTTTTACGCTGCTGAAAGCAATATTCCAGCAATATCACTGCCGGGGGACACCAGAAATGGGCTTCACACATTGTACCCATGTGGACAATCGAGCCCGTGTCATCGACGTGGCGGGCCAACGCTTTAACCACGAGGCTGCACCACCGCCCATAAGCATAAGCTTTGTCTTATGAAATATGGTAGACCCTATATGCCCTTTGTCTTATCAATTGATTTATACACTTTGTGTTAAGGTACATACAATAAAATCGGTATCTTATTAAGTACTCTCCAATACAGTTAAGTTATTGAGTCCAATGGGGATGTTGTGATTATTGGTTTCTGGTGAACCCAAGGGACGGAACTCCACGTGGATCCCACGATCATGAGTTGACAAAAATCCGGGCAAAGGTGGAATTCGAGTCCACGGGGAAGCCTGACGCCTTCGCCTTGTGCCAGACGCCCACGTGACGTCAAAGACCGGAACCACATATGTTTGACGTCATTGCTGCCATGAATATCGTCCACTCTCAGAGGTTGCTCCTGGATGCCGTGAAGGTCCGGGCTAGAATATTAATCTTCAGTAACCTATGCTTGTCGTAACAGGCGACTAACGGGATCGGGTGTTCAGACTCGCTGACTTGGTTGACACTTCATCGGTTCCCAGTTGCGCAGATCGATGCTCATGTTGTTGTCACTGGATTGTCTGGTTCAGACTCGATTATTTACAGACCGCCGCCAGCTGGAATATATGGTGTCCTATAATTGCCATCGCGTGGCGCGTACAAAAAGAACTACGTCGTGGGCGACGTCGCGCATAAAAGACGACGTCGTGCGCGACGTCGCTTTGTAAAATATATTTTGGCTACAAAAATAACGGGCGACGTCGTGAACGACGTCATGGGCGACGTCTGAATATATCGAGTGGTTATCGGCCTCTGAACGTGGCTGACCAAGGTTACGTCTAAAAGAAGAATCGTTAAACAAAACAGGATTTAAAACGCAAAAATGCTTCAGTCACTCCCGATAAACATTTCTGTCGACCCAAAAATGTTTTTACACCTATATCCAATCAAATACCACCCTAGAAGGCCACTGTTCATTGTATGTAAGGCATACCCATCTGCAAATGAAACGATCTCTTCCCCACACTCTAAACATAATCACCGGTACCGCCACTATTGTTCGGTCCGGCATACCTCGGGCCGTCAAAAGCAGCTTAAACCTCACACATGTATCTTGAATTGCGTTTTAATTCACAGATTAAATTACATCTACCTAAATATCACTTTTCCAGCCCCTTTCTCTCTCCATTTTCACCCGTGAAGGTCCGGATTAGAAAGTGCCTTCAGTAACCCATGCTTGTCGTAACGGGAGCGGGTTGTCAGACTCGCTGACTTGGTTGACATATGTCATCGGATCCGAAATGCGCAGATCGATGTTCATGCTGTTGATCACTGGATTGTCTGGTTCATACTCGATTATTTACAGACCGCCGCCATATAGCTGGAATATTGCTGAGTGCGGCGTAAAACTAAACTCACTCACTCACTCTCCATTTTCAACATAGCCTCAATCAAAAGTGTTAAGTCTCTGTTGGCCCCACTTGGCCCGAGCTGTCAAAAGCAACTTAAACCTCACACATGTATCTTGAAGTCTCACAGATGAATCCTAGATTCTGTTTACATCCAATGAATATAGTTATATCTATCTAAATACCACTTTATAGACCCAGTTTTCTTTGTAACATCACAATGTGGCATTTAGGTAGATATAATACTGATCTATGGATTTGAACACATTTCAAGATACATGTGTGAGGTTTAAGTTGCTTTTGACAGCCCGGGCCAAGTCGGGCCGAACAGACTGAACACTTTTGATTGAGGCTATTTTGAGGGTGGGCAGACAAGGGCTTCACTTTAACGCAGCAGTTACCTTTACATGTGGCATTTTGTAACATTTCAGTGTGATATGTAGGTGGATATAATACTAATCTATGGATTTAAGCACAATTAAAGATACACCTTTGAGGGGTTCAGGCTCATAACGCCGACCTTTCGACCAAACTTTACGGTTGAGTGAAATATGAAGGTCGACGTCCTGAGACTAGTTTCATTTTGTCAATTAATAATGGATTACGAGGACAATGCAGGATCAAAGAGTTGTTAGAGGAGGATATTCCGGATTATGCGGATGAGAGCGCACCAAATGAGAAGATGACAACAGATGACAGATTTTAGCATTTTTAATAAATACATCGTAAATTCATATAGCATACATTTTTTCACAGATTTTAACCTAAATGCAATAGGTGGGATGCTGAATCAGCAAACTGCTTCACGGACAGTGTTCCTTGTTCAAGCCGGTGACAAATGTCATCCAGTCGTCGCTCCAAATCCCTGTATTTCCCCTTCTTGGACGGACGCTTCTGGCCAGCAGCATACTGGACCAGCTTGTTTTCGGTGTTGGTCTGTTCTCGTGACAGCAACGACACAATCTCGAAAATGTTTGGATGAGCCTTGCTGACGTATTTCTTCAGGCGTGAATGCCACCCTTCTAGGTGGTTGTTTGGCCCATCTGTGTTGTGGTGGTTCCATTGCGTCATGTGCAGATCTCCCTCCATCCAGAAGTCGGTCAAGTAGTCTCCGAGTTGTCGGCAGCGGTCTTCATCAGTCTTTTGCAGTACATATCCAAGATATCCAGTCTCGTTTTCTCTTACTGACTCTGTACATGAACCCGCCAACAACCAAGCAACGACTGTTGCGAGCTGTAGGGGTGAATCTCTGATCTAGCTGTGCATTTGCCATTTCGAAATCGAATGTGAATCCTTTGGCCATTCCATAGATATTTATACCAAAGATATGAACAGTGTTCAATATTGGCACTCTACTAAGTGTTATTGTAAACTTTTCAATCAATTGGAAGTGACATATGCGACGAGTTCACCTTATCAAAACATCTAGAGTAGATTATCCGCAACGCTAATTAAGCCTAATCAGAACCTAACCTTCAAAGGAAACCGTAGGTCGGCGTCCTAGTGGAAAATCGAAAGGTCGGCGTCCTGAGACGACACCCTTTGAGGTGTTAGGTGCTTTTGACGACTCGAGCCAAGCCGGACCGAACGCTTGTGACACAGTGTGTTTGTTGAGAATATATAGAAAAGAAGGCTTCACTTCGAGCAACGTGTTTGCTTAAAATACTACGCTTTGCGACTCTATAAAGAAGTATTTAGGTACTAGTAGATATAATACCATTTTGCCTTTCATGTGTACTAGCAAATTTAAGCATATGCATACGCGCTGGCTATCGGATTTGGGCTGGTGTTGTTTACGGTTTAGAATACAATGAAAGCACATAAGAATGTTTGTGTGTGTAAATGTATACTTTCTTTGATCCTTTATAACATATTACAAAAGGTTGTGATTTAATATATTTCTTTTAACATATATAATCATGTCATAATTTCCAATATAATATGGGGAGCAAATTATTTCGAAGCCATTGAAAATGTCCATGCATCTTATTTTAAAAGATTTCTTACAGAAGGTACATTTGCTTCCAATAAAGCCATACTTGGCGAAACAGGACCCTATAACATGCATGTTGAGAGTCAAATGAGAGTTATTAGATACTGGATTAGACTTATAAGAATGCCTTATTATCGCTACCCCCATCAAAGCTGTCAAATATTGTTATCACTGGATAAATGTGGAAAGTATTCATGGGCTTCAGATGTGAGAAATATGTTATTTTCAAGCGAGTTTTCTTATGTTTGGTTTAAGCAAGATGTTGGTGATATAAAAATGTTTTGTCAACATTTAAACAACGAATAAAAGATATATATTCAGAGTTGGTACGCATCAGTCAATTCATCCAGTTTTCTTAGTCATTATTCACAATGTAAATCGATGTTCGGACCTGCAAAATATGTAAGTGTTCTTAATGATAAGTCCCTTTTAAGAATTGTTTTGTAAATTTAAAATCTCTCTACATGCCTTAAAAATACAACGTTTTAGAAAAGATAATAATACATTGGAAGATTTATCATGTTCTTATTGTTCTTCTGGTAAAACTGAAGACGAACGACACTTATTATTAGTCTGTAAGACTTTCTCTGCCTGCCGAAAGAAGTATTTAAAATGCACTAATGATGCCCCACAAACGATATTCAATGTACTTAAGCCGTCAGTATTTTTGTAAAATCATAATTTAATGTCACGTGACCAATAGTTGTAATTGAGTAACTTCAATTGTACTCTGGGCCACTGGGCCTTAACTACTGAATAAAGCCTGTGTGACTGTCTGTCTGTCATTGTCCAGGTACTCCATCAATGTCGGGTGGTTTTTTGCAAGCCTGAACTTCAAGGTATCTAGTCGTTCCTCCAAATCTCTGTACTTCTATTTGGGGACAGTCTTTGGCCGGCATTGTACTGAAGCATCTTTGCCTCGTTCAGTCCTTGTTCATCTTCCAGGAACTTGGCCATCTCGAATAGGGTGGGATGTTGTTTTACCACAACCTTCATGAGAAGCCAATTCGGAGGTTGTTGTTTGTGCGGGGCCGTCAGTATTTTTGGTACACGAAAAGATTCACTTTGACTTCGCTGTGTACAGGTCCGTGGTTGTGGTCTCCAGGTATTTGGGAAATTATGTCGTTCACTGTTAAGACTGATATGCAGTCGTTCTGAATGCATCTCCACGAGATCCATTTTCCCCTTTTCTTCTTGTTCACAATAAACATATTTATAACCATTTACATATATGTATGTTCCACCACGAGAAGTATAAAGAAACCTATTGTGCATTTTCCATAACTGAATTTGTGGAAATGATGATGAAAGCTGTCAATTCCAACATTCTTATAGCTTGCACGTTTATGTAAGAAATTAAATAATTCACTACTAATGAACTGAGTGAACTAAACTCACTCACTAAACCCGCTGGTTCACATGTCAACCCGCTGGTACAAAAGTCATATTTCGTTTCCTGAGTGGAGACATTTTACATTTTGTAGAAAACCAGTGTATTGATCCCTTAAAACAACACCGTTTTCACAACATCAAACATCAACTAAATTTGACAGATTTTTTACTTAAGGTGTTATGGCGCTAACCCCTCGATTGGTTTACTTAAATAAGTAGTAATGTTGAACATGAAATCAGTGATTAGAGATCAATAGCAGTACAACTGCACCACAAAAAGTTATTCCCCGATTTTCCAATATAACAATTTCTAAACACGACGTCGGCCTCGACGTCGCCTTCGACGTCGGCCTCGACGTCGCCTTCGACGTCGATTTTGTTTTTTTGTCGTAGATCATTCTTGTGTATTTCTGCACGACGTCGTGGTCGACGTAGTCTTTTTTATGCGACGTCGTGGGCGACGTAGTTCTTTTTTTACGCGCCACGCGATGGCAATTATAGGACACCATAGAAATATGCTGAGTGCGGCGTATCACTCACTCACTCACTCCTTGTCAAAAGGCTCCTCATGAATATTGTGACCATGGAAACACCAGGAGTATACGTATTGCGTATGCAAAACCCATGGATGTTGTACATGTATGAAATTAGGAAGAAACACGTGTCACGACACGACTCTACAGACGCCTGGCATAATCAATTATGAGGAGACGCCTTCAGCCCACAGAAATGTCAGCAGAGTGTCAATCAGGTGAAGTACCGCCAACATGTTTGGTGTTCAGAACATTGTGATCAGTAAACCTGAGCAGTGACCAGTGCTATATATTGAGTTCGGGAAGGTAATACAATGCGAGTGAGAGAATATGCCGGTGTCTTTTTCTCATGTATGTAAGGGGAGCTAACTGTTGCCTCTCTCCTCACAACACATATCTAAATACGAAACCATTCTTTGGTCACAGCAGTAAATGCATAAAAAAGGGAGGGTGATCTTCTGTGTAATATACTGGACATTATAAGTTAGTGATATTGGTATTTTTATGATTGATATTTTATCGGTGTGTCAATGAGTCAATAGATCATTATTCATAATTTCAAAATGTACATATATCCCTAAGTATTTTTGTCCTGTATATGTTCTAAGCAAGCCCCTAACCTAAAACATGACCAGTCTGTCAAAACTATTCTCTAAATGAATATTGGAAATTTTAACTATAAATTGTATATTTATATACTTATCCTATCCAATTATTTAAAGTCAAGCCATCAAAGCAATTTTGAGCACATCCATGGTCTTGTGAAATGAGCATCTGCCTGGAGGGTGGTGTGTTGGTGGTTTGATGTCTACAATTTTCAACATGTAATCAACAAACACTATATCAGAAGAATTCTGGACATACTTCTAAATCATCAAGTTAAGTCAGAATCTTGAATCAAAATGAAAACACAACAAGCAATCTATTGAAACACATTTTACTAACAGTTCATCATAAACGTATCACAGGCTTTGCCAAAATTACATTTGTATCGCAACTCCAGAGAAATTACTCGAAAATAACCAAAATGGAAATATCTAATCACATAAAACTGTCAAAAGTTTTGCAACAACCTTTAATATTTAGGAATTTGAAGTATTTTTGTAATGGTTACAAAATAAAACCCCACAAACCAAACTACTTGTATTTATCTGGTTTAGTTAATACCACTGTACCATGTGCATACATATTCTGGAATAAACAATGGATTCTACAGTACACCTTCACTGCAAAATTTCTGAAATAAACAAAACAGAGCTCTTCAAGTCCTTGTACGAAATTCGAGAAAGAAAAGTCTTCTTCAGAGCATCACAAGCAGAGGTGTGTATATGGCTGACAGAGGTGAGGGTCTGTTGTGCTGCCAGTAGTACCACCCATTCTTGGACGTCCTGCATGTGGATTGATCCCCCCAACTTGTGTACAATGCTGTGGCATGAACAGACACAACTGCATCACTGTGGCAGCTACTTCCGCAGTTAGTCTCTGTAATGACAAGTAGTGAAATATGAACATTTGACAATCAATGATTGATTGGTTAGTCAGAAGTTTATGTGTTCAAAACATCCTGAAGCGACATAATTCAATGGATTTGAAAAAGCTATTTTGTTATCAGATTCAAATCACAATTTTCTCAGTCTGTTATTATCATAGATATGATATATTCACATGAACAAAATTAAGATTCATCATCATTCATCTCATAATTAGCAGGCTAACAATCAAGTACTTTCATGGACGTCATGGATTAATATTCTGATAATGAACAAAATTCTAAATAACAATCAGAAAGAACAGTCAGCTGACCTATATATGTCGATTTGTAGAATGATAAAATCATGCACAAATCCAATGTCTCTGCTAATCTACCGAAGAGAAAATTGGTTGACAATGGCAGCATTGTTCACAGACAATAACTGTTTCTACCATAGTCCCAATAATGGTTCAAACAAAGTTATTGTACCAAGCCACGAAGTGGGAGGGGGGATATAGGTTCGAGCTCCGTCCATCCAAGACGATTGGGCAGAAACTGTTATAGATAGGGAAACCAAATTTTGTATGTATTTTCAGGACATGGATGCCTTGATGCAGTTTAAAAAGGCAAACGTTTTACAATTCTTTACAGAGTTAACGCCCTTGTCATGCGTTTCTAGACTTAGTGCACAGTATCCCCAATGGGAACAGATTTTTTCATTCAACAACTTATGTATCGCAATTTGCAGGAAGAATGAATAGTTGTCAAAATAGGAACCGAACACTGGTGGGGGATATATAGTATGACCAGAAATTATTGAGAATTTTAGGAATATGTTTAATTGGATTTCTAGTATAAACAACCTTGACAAGCTATTAAGTGTTTGGTTTCATTCAAGAGAGACAACTCTGTTTATCCTTTTTCATTAGGTTTGTGAAGAGTTATCCCCCCTTTGTTTACTTATCCTCTGACAAATATTGCTGAAATGAAAGAAGAGGTGGTCCGATATTGGGACAGCATGGACCAAGACTTTCTAACTTCTTTGATCAGTTGTATGCCCCGCCGCATTGAAGCCTGCATTGCTGCCCATGGTGACTTGACAAAATACTAACTGTTCACCTGTCTTTGAATCTGGAGTTATGTTCTGCTAATATTCACATTAATACGTGAGTAATGTGTGAATTTATTTTTAAATTACAATCTTTAAATTCTCAATAATTTCTGGTTGTACTGTAGATGACCATGTCTTATTGTTTCATTTACTTCAATATCTCAATACAAATTGACTATGGTTTCATACTGCTGTGTGCAATAATTCAGCACCTTCAAGATTGGCGAGTAAGTGAGTTTAGTTTTACGCCGCACTCAGCAATATTCCAGTTATATGGCAGCGGTATGTAAATAATCGAGTCTGGACCAGACAATCCAGTGATCAACAGTATGAGCATCGATCTACACAATTGGGATACGATGACATGTGTCAACCAAGTCAGTGAGTCTGACCACCCCATCCTGTTAGTCGCCTCTTAGGACAAGCATGGGTTACTGAAGATCAATTCTAACCCAGATCTTTACAGGTGCCTTTAAGACGGAAGACACCAGAAACCAAACAGAAGTAATTTTTATCACATCAACCATAAGGTCCTACTTTGGCTGTCCACAGTTTATCATAAATCTTTGTTGAGATAACAGGCGAAACAGGAAAAAAGAGTAATGTTGCAACAGAATCAGTTTATTCAGAATTCAAAGGAATTGTTGGCTTTATGCTCATTTCAGCCATGAGGGGAAATTATCCACGGCATCCAACATCAGCAAGTGCGACCAATTGGACCAAAGGGATAGGGCAGTCAGACTCACTGTCTTGGTTGACGCATGTTATTGTATCCCAATTGAGAAGATCAGTGCTCATGATGTCAATCACTTACTCAATTATTAACTGGCCACCATCAGCAGAAACATTGCTGCCTTTAACAACTGACAGACCGATATTCCAACTTTTTCAATGAAAATGCTTACACAACTGTTCTATACTGCTGAATGCTCTGAAAATAATACTGGGGAATGCATATTAAACCATGTATCAAGACATCGTTCTTACCCTTGTAGGATCTCGACCAAGAAGGTTCCTGATCAGGTATTTAATAGCAGCAGGAACGTCATCTGTGTAACAAAGTAACATTATATGATAAACAAGAAGACAAAGTCATCAATATCCCCCGCAATGGCAAAATACTCTTCATGATTATGTCTACGAGTTATGATTATGTCAAATATTAAGGTGTGTATATAGAAAAGTGGAAGGAGAGTATTGAAAGGTTTTCAAAGTTCTGCTCCAGATAGGAGCACTATCACCAATTTCAGTCTATGTCAAACTTGTTGCCATGGAAATGCCAAAAATATTTTATTCAGAAATCCAAAACTACCAAAAGGCACCAGTACACCACCAGATCTATGTATGTGCCAAGTTTGGTGAGGAAACATTGAACGGTTTTAGAGTTCTGCTCCGGAAAAGTGCACTACCACTAAGTTCTGTTTTAGTCAAACTTGTTGCCATGGAAACGCCAAAAATATTTTATTCAGAATTCCAAAACTACCAAAAAGGAACCAGTACACCACCAGACCAATCTATGTGCCAAGTTTGGTGAAGAAATAGTGAACGGTTTTAGAGTTCAGCTCCGAAAAAGAGCACTACCACCAATTTCATGCTAAGTCGAACTTGTTGCCATGGAAATGCCAAAAATATTTTATTCAGAATTCCAAAACTACCAAAAGGCACCAGTACACCAGCAGATCTATGTATGTGCCAAGTTTGGTGAAGAAATAGTGAACGGTTTTAGAGTTCTGCTCCAGAAAAGAGCCCTACCACCAATTTCAGGCTAAGTCAAACTTGTTGCCATGGAAACGCCAAAAATATTTTATTCAGAATTCCAAAACTACCAAAAGGCACCAGTACACCACCAGACCAATCTATGTGCCAAGTTTGGTAAAGAAATGTTGAACGGTTTTAGAGTTCAGCTCCGGAAAAGAGCACAACCACCAATTTCATGCTAAGTCGAACTTGTTGCCATGGAGATGCCAAAAATATTTTATTGAAAATTCCAAAACTACCAAAAGGCACCATTTCACCACCAGACCAATCTATGTGCCAAGTTTGGTAAAGAAATAGTGAATGGTTTTAGAGTTCAGCTCCGGAAAAGTGTACTACAACCAATTTCAGGCTAAGTCAAAACTTGTTGCCATGGAAACGCCAAAAATATTTTATTCAGAATTCCAAAACTACCAAAAGGCACTAGGAGACCATCAGATCTATGCATGTGCCAAGTTTGGTGAAGAAATATTGAACGGTTTTAGAGTTCTCCCCCGGAAAAGACAAATGTGCACGGACGGACGGATGGACGGACGGACGCACGCACGCACGGACGGAGTCCATTTTAATACCCCCCGAAAAACGCGTTGCGGGGGATAATTATGGACAAAAGATGATACTGTAAGTATAATTATCATAATCACACAAAAAACAAATTAAACTGTGTAATTTTTCAGATTAGCTGTTGACCATAAATGGGGAAATTAGCAAATTACTATTTCTTATGAACATCTTTCTATATTAACAGGTTTATCAGGTTCAAGTCTCAGAATAATAAATGATCATTTTAAGACAATAGAAGATGTTTTCGTAAGCATGAATAAGGGAAACATGTGAGGGGAGCTAAACACTGATAAAGAAGCCAGAAAATTACATGTAATTATATTACTATGAAATAAATTAACAATACTGAACACCAACGTTCCTCTGTACCAATGTAGCGAATGAAGTCCATGTATAAAAAATCTCTCAGCAGTCTGAAGATCTGACATAAAATGACCAGCATACCTGGGAGGGGTGGAAGTTCATCTTCCCTGAATGTTTTGCTGTCCAGCCGATGTGGGTTGGTCTTGCTGCGGTAGAATGGGTTGTCCTTACCAAATATCTCATATGCTAAGGCCCCAACAGCCCACAGGTCAGCCTTGCTGTAGTCCAGGATAGAGGACTTGCCTACTCGAGCACATGCAATCTGGAAATAAGGTTTTGTTTATGTATGAACAGAACATGTTGAACAGTATGTGTTCAAACCTACAGTGATAATGTACGAGAAAAGCTTTAACTGATAAGGTCAGAAACCAAGGTCGATTCATGGATGATTATCAGATAAACAATTCCACAACCAGTTGACCCAATTCAATGAAGGGACACAACTCTGTACCCTCTGACTGAACCCAAATACCCCTTCCCCCTCAAGGTATCCTCCAGGTGATTTGAAATAATGCCAATTTGTCCGCTCAATTAGTCCGAGTTAAGCCTAGGTGCTAGTGTTGAACATGTTCTCCATGATGAGTTGAATAAAGCTGATGAAAATTTCAGTGTCTGAATCCATATAAAACAAGCATTGTCACTAAGGTGACATAATCCCCCGCCGCAAATTATCAAATCAAACTTAAAAAGTAATGAAAGTTTAAGATGAAGTTAAATGTCAACAAAAACATGACCAGTCAACCTCTCTTGATATCTTCTCTTTAGTTGTTCAAACACACAAATATTTTCAAGACTGACTCTGACCTTGACATGAATGTCATAGTGTATGAAATATGCAAAAATGGTACTAAAGAAATTGCTTATTGACAAACATTCAAGAGAAGTCTTGAAAGTCTATGAAGAAAATCCAGTGAATTCAGGTTAACATGCTGAAATCTTGACAGTGTCGCAGTGACCTTGAAAGTTATGTGAAGGTCACCAAAATTGACTGGGCCCTGCGCCTTCATTAGATGAAGCTTGGTGTCAAATATGAAAAAAATCCAGTGAATGTTTTTTGCGATATCTTGCTGACTATCTTAACATGCAATTTAACATGCTGAAATCTTTAAAGTGTCTTTTGTGACCTTGAAAATAAAGTGAAGGTCACCAAAAATCGACTGGGTCATGTGCCTTCCCTAGATAAAGTTTGGTGTTGAATATGAAGAAAATCCATTTAACTGTTCTTAAGATAGCTTAACTGTCGCTATGACCTTGAAAATAACTTGAAGGTCACATAAATCAACTGGGCCCTGCGCCTTCCCTAGATAAATATGAAGCGAGCGGTTCAAGAGTAAAACATTAAAATCCCCTTGTGACCTTGAAATGAAGGTCAAGGTCACCAAACCTGACTGGGACCTTTCTTAGACTGTGATGAACCTAGGTACGAAATATGAAAAGAATCTAGTCAATGGTTCTTAAGATATTCTAATTCGCATGTACAGACGGAGCCTAATACTATATTCCCTGCTTCGCGCTAAATGTGCGGCGGGGAATAAAATACACATGAGTGAGTGAGTATGGTTTTAGGCTGCTTTGAGCAATAATCCAGCAATATCAAGGCAAGGGGCCACCAGAAATGGGCTTCACACACTGTACCCATGTGGGGAATCGAACAACCAGACGCTTTAACCATTAGGCTACTCCACAGCCCCCTAAAACAAGCACATAAAAGTGCAACACAAAACCTAAATGACTTACTGGTGAAATATTGTATGATATTACCCTACCTCAGGAGCCATGAGTGCAGCATTGCCTCCCTTGTTTATTTCACTGGTGTTGTATGGAATTTGCAGACTGTCTTCACATAAACAGCAGCCAAAATCACTAATCACCAAAGTGGGATGATCTGCAAAGACAGTTACATTAATATCACACCGTGGGCGCTACCATGAAACTTCTGGAACCAAAACATGTCACACTTTGACGAAAGTTGGATGCCAAGAAAAGTTAGTAATATGCCAGATTGCCCAGAGGCAAATAGCTGTGTATGTACTATTTTAACAGTATATAGTCAAAGCTAGGAAAAATTATTAATGATTATTTAGGACTTTATTCATGGTCTGATCCTAAATTATGTTCAGGACACTGTTTTGTTATTAATCCGTGCAAATACATGTCACCATGCACCAGTCATGCAAAATATATTCATTTCTTTCAGAAATCTTTGGCATTTTTGCTGAAAGCTCCGTCTCCGATATTTATCGATAACCCATCAATATTACCATAACGATTACTGATCTCTACCATCTATAAATAACATGAGTGATGAGTCCTCATATCCCCAGCAAAGGAAAGTATTTGTTATGAGTATATTTCTGAAACTCATAACTGAAATAATTGTTTAAAAATTCCAAAATGCACCATTTCACAACCAGACCTATATATTTTGACAAAGACCTATTGAATGGAATTCTATATATAATCATTGTGAAAGATTTGATCGTTTAACTTCTTTTGAACAGTATATATTGGTGTCCATCAACGTTTTCTTTTACAGTAAAATTAAGTTGCATGCTTTGTAGAATGGAGCCCTGGATCTTAGTCTATGAAATGTGCTGATACTAGCATTGCAACCTTGGGTTTGAAATCATTTTGTATTTTCACTTGTCTTGTCTAATGCTGAAAAGTGTACTTGAATTGCAATTGCAGACTTGTGTTAATCTTGAACACTTCATTTCAACATTTTGAAATAATGGAAAGGGGAGTAACTGTGCATATAAATATTGTTATGCATTCCCCACCATGATTGGTTAAAAATTCAGACCCTATGGCATTCCCCACCATGATTGGTTAAAAAGTGACAATATGACATTCTCTTATCAACAAATCCACTCATTGTATGCAACATGTTATTTTCACAGTAAAAGCATGTTGTTTTCCTTAAGCAAACAAGCACCTTTCCCATTAGACACATCAAGCAAGAGATTGTCACTCTTCAGATCACGGTGAGCGATTCCATTCTGCTGAAGGCAGACTACACCCTCCAGGAGCTGGGCCAGCAGGAGACATCTGGTAGCCATGCTTGGCGACTCCTTGTTCAGAAATTCTCTCAATGTACAGGTGTACCTGGGGACACACAAAGAAAAACAACAACGATCAATGCCCCAAAATTCTAATTACACCATACACCAATCCTTGGCATTAACCGTTAAACTATGGTGTCAGTGGGGTAGCCTAGTGGATAAAGCATTTGCTTGTTATGCCAAAGACCCGGGTTCGACTCCTCACATGGGTTCAATGTGTGAAGCCCATTTCTGTGTCCCCAGCCATGACATTGATGCAATATTACTAAAAGCAGGGTAAAAATCAACTCACTCATTCATCCCAAACTTGAAGCTAACTCAATTTTAGGTGAATCAGAAACCTGAATCATTTGCTTCAAATTTCAGATATCAAAGATGGAATATGGAATGAACAGAAAGATACTGACTGACTGAGTTTAGTTTTACGCCGCTTTTAGCAATATTCCAGCAATATCACGGCGGGGGACACCAGAAATGGGCTTAACACATTGTGCCCATGTGGGGAATCGAACCCGGGTCTTCGGCGTGACGAGCCAACGCTTTAACCACTAGGCTACCCCACCGCCCCAACAGAAAGATAGGATTCAGAGTATGGGAAATACTATAGAACATGCATAAGCTGGTTGTTGAATGGTTTCATTTAGCATTTTCATGAAAATATAACTGTTATTGTTATAATGATAATTCACATGTGTTTTACACCAATATAACTTGCAATATAATTTATCCCATGTATCATGAGTGAGTGAGCAATATTCCAGCTATATGGCAGCGGTCTGTAAATAATCGAGTCTGAACAGACAATCCAGTGATCAACAGCATGAGCATTGATCTGCGCAATTGGGAACCGATGACATGTGACAACAAAGTCAGCAAGCCTGACTACCCGATCCCGTTAGTCGCCTCTTACGACAAGCATAGTCGCCTTCTGTGGCAAGCATGGGTTGCTGAAGACCTATTCTACCCTGGATCTTCACGGGTCCCATGTATCATAACATACAGTATTAAACAGTATCATAGTGTTGTACCATTATACAACTAGTCTTCACATATCTTTGTGACACTCACCTTTTCATTAGGAGGAACATGGTCATGTTTCTTCCGAAGCCATTGGGGTCAATTCTTGATGGGAGGGCAGCTGGGTAGTGTTGTCTGTTGTCTGGTAGATCGGGCACGCTGTCTACGAACACTCCATGCATACACACAATGTTCGGGTGCGGAGCGACAGTTTTCTTCCTCACACGGTTCCTGACATGCAACCAAAACAGTTGTACTCTCAGTATGAAAGTTTGAGACAGTCATTTGAGATTGTGAATTACAGTTTTGATTTATTTTGGAGACATTAGATTGATTTACTGTTGTGACAGTCGGACAGCCCAGTAGTCACAGTGTTTGCTTGTCACTCAAAAGCCCAAGGTTTGATTCTCATATGTGAAACCCATACTTTTGTCAATCAATATCTGCTGGAATACTGCTAACATTGAACACAGGGGACACACTTTTTCCCTTTAAAGGCACCAGTGGGGTAGCCAAATGGTTAAAGCATCTGCTCGTAATATTGGAGACCCAGGTTCGATTCCCTTCATCATGCTCATGGGTACAAAGTGTGAATGCTGTCCCCTGCTGTAACATTGCTAAAAGTGGTGTAATAACGTCCATTGTTACCCATTATGCCAGGAATCCCGCTGCATGTGAGAATCCATCATCCTCATGGGCAAAGCTTCCTTCTCCATGGCCTTCAACACAGCCTCTGCATTCGACTCCACATCGTAATTGAACATCATCTTCAAGGCCAGGTCATAATCACAGGAAGGAGTAGCGTCCAGCTGGGGGTCTACTGCAAAATATTTATTACGTCAATCACGAATTTTCTTAAATGTGTTGAGCATTCAGCAATATTTAAGCCATATCATAATTGAACATCACATTCAAGGCCAGATGAAGGAGTAGCTTCCACCTAGGGTTCTACTTCAAAAATATTCAGAACATCAATCTCCCTTTTTGCTTCTTGTTTTATTGAGCATTCAGCAATATTCGAATTAACCTGTAGAGGTTTCAGATTCTTTGAATATATTCCTCCTTGGGGTACTTATAAGCATTTAAATGTCCATTTAAAATCCCTACGACAGTTGTAACGATATTTGAATAAAAAATATTTACAAAACAAAAACTTCTTGTGAGACCACCCTTACAGGGCCCTCCGGCCCCCTACAGCCAAGAGCAGGTAACTCTAGACAATAACCTCGTACCTCACTTTCCATGCTGAACGAAGTCAGACAGAATGTGGGGAGGTGGGCGGGCGTACCCCAAGGAGGAATATATTCAAAGAATCTGAAACCTCTACAGGTTAGTTCGATTCTTTTTTATATATTACTCCTTGGGGTACTTATAAGTATAAGACAGACTCCTAAAGACGGAGCTAAGGAGTGGCATTTTGTTCGCATAAAACACCCCCGACAAGAAGTGGAATTTCCCAAGCTAAAAATAGCAGAAAAAAGCTCACTTACCCGGTCACGTGTCCACCATAGCCAATCAGGCGGGGGCATGAGCCAGGGTCAGGGTCGAACATAGTATAATTACAATGCGAAACCTCGCTAATGTAAACAGTCGAGATAAACCCTCCCTCCCTCCTGTAATCAATCGGAAGTGAAGATAAGGGGGTCCCGCAATAAGCCGCAAGAAACAAAATGCCGTAATACATCTATTAAGCAAAGGTTTCCAAGGCAAATAAGTCTAGAGCAGAACGGAGTAATGCAAAAGACATGAGAATAAAAACCATCACCACATAAAACCCGTCACCAAGGGGATATGGAAAAAAGCTTTTTAAAACCCAACACCAGTGAAAAATCGGCAGAGAATGGTCCATGTCATAAAATCCTCGAAAGCTCTATCGGCTAGAGAGGTGGAACCATGCCCGCTGGAGAGAACTGACTGACCGAACCGAGCACGCTCACTGGAGAGTCTGTCAAGTTGGTACGATTGGCAAGTCCCACGGGGGACTAATCCGCCAGACAACCGGACGGATTCTGTCCACGCCTGCTAAAAAACGCTGCACAAGAGGGTGCTGCCCCAAGAGAGCACCGTCAACAGGAATATGAAACACAGAAATTGCCGTAGAATATCCTCGAACAGTTGAAGCCGCTAGACCAGCATCCAACCGAGACTGGAGGAATTCTAAGACAGAGACTAAATCTGCAGAAAAGGGATCAAGAATCCCCCTGTTGTTGACACACCAGCGCGAATAACAGGCCCATCTATCCTCATATTGAACGTTTGTCGAATCCCACCGCGAAGCCAGAATTGTGTCAGCAACTGGTGCAGGAATTCCGCTCGCTCGGAGAAGGATATGCCAGGGCAGAAGGATATGCGGCAGTAAGAGGGGAAGGCCGTTGGCTCCGACCAGAGGCCTGAGACTGAGTGTTCGCCCAGGACCCCCCCCAATCCTGTGAGGGGGGCGTCCGTCTGAACTGAGAGGGAAGGTGTCGGGGTGTCTAGGGGGATCCCCCTGGACAAATTCCCGACGTCCGTCCACCACCGCAAGTGAGGAATTAACCACTCGGGCGTTGTGAGAATAATCTCGTAGCTCTGCGAGTGGGACCACAGCTGCGCTAACGCTTGCTGAACGGGTCTCATCCTCAGACGCGCACGCCAAACCACATCCACTGTCGCCGCCATGTTGCCTAGCAACCGAAGCCATGTTCGGGCCGACGCATAGGGCGACTGGAGAAACTGTAACACAGTCCTCTGGACTTTGACGATACGGTCCGGAGCGAGGGAAACAATGCCCAGCTCCGTGTTGAATCTTGCCCCCAAGATACCAGATCCTGCGTCGGAACGAAGTCTGATTTTTTGAGGTTGATAATCCAGCCCAGTGACACCAGAGTATCCATCACACACAGTTAGGAAGCTCTGCTTCACTGAGGACCTAACGCCTAACTGAGCTGGGATTAGCATAAGTTTGGTGAACACCCTTGGCGCCGTAGAGATGCCGAAGGGGAGCACACAAAACTGGTAGCACGTCCAACCGAAGGAGAACCGGAGGTACTTCTTGAACTCGGGGTGCATTGGAACATGGAGGTACGCGTCGATTGATGTAAGTCTCGACGGAGGAGATCACTGACCTGAGTGTCTCCATCCTGAAAGACGGCACCTCTAGTAACTTGTTCAGCCCTCTGAGATTCAGAATGGGTCTGAACCCTCCGTCCTTCTTGGTCACTAGGAAGTAAGTGGAATAAAAAACCCCTCTCCTTGCTGACCCACAGGAACCACCTCGATGGCTGCCTTGTCCAGTAAGGACTGAACTCCGGCACGGAGTACTTCCGCCTTCACCCGGGAAGTCGGCACGGGAGTGTGCCGAACCCCGGAGAAGGACGGTGGATCTCGCCTCCACTGTGGCAAATGCCCATCCCTGAGCGTGGACAGGACCCAGGGATTTGTGGTGGCTGCCTCCCACTCCCGAAGGAATAGTGACAACCGGCCGCCGACAGGGACGTTTGGTATGAGGCAATGCACCCCCACAGTCGGCAAGTCTCCGCTTGCGTGTGTGGGTGGCAATAAGGGCTCTGGGGGAAGAATCAGCGGGAAGCTGGGGCTGGTTTCCCCCTGCCCCGAAAAGGCTGCTGCGACTGAGCAGGCCTGCCCTTGCCTCTAGCTCTCTTACTCCGCTTGGCCTGCAAAGGGGCAGTCCAGGGCACAAGGATATGCGGCAGTAAGAGGGGAAGGCCGTTGGCGAGGAATGGAGGGCTTTTCCAACAAAGGCTTAGAGTCTTTGAAGGTAGACATGGCCTCCGCGGCCTCCCGTACAACCTGCAATGCCCCAGGGAACAGGGAGGACCCCATTGTGTAAGGCAGAGACAGGAGCGCCTGTTGCGTGGCTGGCGAATAGCGCGCCACGGATAACCATAGCCGACGCAAGCCCATAACGGCACCCATCATCTGGCTGGCGCAGCACCGAATACTGTCCTGAGCCAGATGAGAATGAACACCCGTTAGCTGATGCGCGAGCACCGGCGCCGACAAGTCGGCACCACAAGCGCTCTGATCCACCAGCTGACCCTGTTACGCCGACAGGTAAGCTGAGTGGACGGCCACTTTAACTGCTGGGCTGCGCACCGGTAATACTCCTCATAGGACCGGTACGCAGACCTCAGCGTAGGCACATTGTTAGGAAAAGGGGGGAGCCGCCTGCCCTGCCTGGCCGAGGCCAGGGAAGACGTGGACGACCCCCCTAGAGTAACGGAAGCGAAAACACATTCGTCCACCACTGGCGGCTCGAATAGCGCATCCTCTCCCAACTGGTACCTTTTGCCGACGTCGGGTAAATCAAACCGCGTACGGGCACCAGTAAGGAGAGGATTAACCACCTCACTCACCAGTGATGGCAAAATGCGGAGACGAACCTCGGCAACCCGGCTGGACGCGAGAGCCTCCCCCGGGAGCCGAAACTCAGCGGGATTGGCCGCCTGCACGGGGACAGCCACCTGGGGCAGGACTCCGGCGATCTTATCGCGAACCTGCCGCAGGGACGACCCAAAGGAGTACGGGACTCCAACCTCCGACTCCTCCCTCCCTTCATCCTCCTCCATATCAACCTCGGTACAATCCTCGGCTGCCGTACTCTCATACTCAAGAGAGATCGCCGAGGGTACCTAAGAGGCTGAACATGAAGGGCTCAAAAGGTCGAGAGGAGCCAGAAGGGACGAGTCGCCCTGCCGGGTGAAACCCAGACCGGGGCACCGAGGTGTCCGAGAGGAACCTGCCGCGACAGGTTTCCGGGCAGCCCAGACATGAAACTAAGGGAGAGTGCCACAAGGCTGGTCGGCGGAGGCACACTATCACCAGGCGGCCGAAGCCAGGATCAAGCTGCCGGCGGGAGGCGTTCTCTGAGCCGAGCTAGGAGCCTCGGGCGCGAAGCCTAACCCCCCAGAGGATCGTGCCCGATCGGTGCCCCGAGCGATCGGGCGTGCCCAGAGCTCCTCCCACGGAACCCAGACAGCGCGCCCTGTCAATCAGGGATTTCACAGACGACATCTGTTCCTGAAAGAGAGTAGTTAATGAGTAAAACGAGACAACGGGTGCCGATGCAACAGGGGGTGCGTTGGAGATAGGTACAGGGGCAGGTGTAGATACAGAAGGAGAATTTACAGACTTAGCAGATGAAGCCTCCTTGGTAACTTTCGCCCGTTTGGGAGCCGATTCCGTAGAGGAGGCGGCTCCCGAAGACCCCTTTTTTTTACTGTGAGAACGTTTGGACGGGGGATCCTGAGCCCAGATATCACCCCCCGCCCGAAGCAAGTTGCTGTAGAACAGCTTATCCACCCGCCTGGACTTAACAGTCTTAGGTGTGAAAATAGCACACGCAGGACAACCTGTTTCGTCGTGATCAGTCTCCATCAAACATCGCAAACACACCTCGTGAGTATCCCTCACGGGTATAGCAGCGAGGCACGAAGTACAGGATTTAAACTGCAACAAGTAAAAAACCTGTGCAGTAACCTACCCCATACATACATAAATATATGAAAAAACACGCATGGGCGACCACAACTAATGCGATAATGTAAGCATGAAGTTGACAATAACAAGTAAGACACACTGCAACAAAACTAACAATTACGACTGTAGCGGGAAATATAGAAAATGCTAGCAGCGGAAATAACGCCCTACATGTAATAACATACAAATAAAAAATACTATAACCACACGAAACATTGAAAACCACATGGGAAGCCAATGAACAGTGAGGCTAGCGAAGGGACCTGTCCGCCATCTTGACACGCACCCGGCGAGCCGACAGCGACAGGGACCAAGTTACAACCAAAAAAGATGAATGAAAATGTTCAGAACAAGTCTCCAAATCGCCCATGCAGGGAAAAAAGAGAACCATACATACAGTAGCTGTTTCTGAGACACTCATAGTCGCTTAGGAAATTAAAATTCTTTGAAGTGGACCCACGTCTTGCCAGTGAAACGACAGCATGGAAAGTGAGGTACGAGGTTATGGTCTAGAGTTACCTGCTCTTGGCTGTAGGGGGACGGAGGGCCCTGTAAGGGTGGTCTCACAAGACGAAACGTAGTTTTTGTTTTGTAACTATTTTTTATTCAAATATTGTTACAACTGTCGTAGGGATTTTAAATGGACATTTAAATGCTCATAAGTACCCCAAGGAGGAATATATAAAAAAAGAATCAAGCTTTATAACAGTGGTCTGAAAATACCAATCTAATGATTGACATGATCATGATGATGAGAACAGATTATTATTTTTGGGCTACACTTACTGAAGCATTATAATTCAGTTATTTATATCTCATTTGGGGAATATTATCACTATCATTATGCTTCATCATTCGTCATAAATCTACTGAAAAAATGGAGAGCTCGACCATTGTCTAGTCTCTCAATATTCAAGCCATATGATAGTGGTCTGTACATAACAGCCCAGATTTGACAATCAAGTGATTGACATCATGAGAACAGATCGAAACCTTGATATGCACTAAGTTGGACCACCAAATCCATTTAGTCTCCTGTCATGACAAGTATATGATCATGGCGACCCATAACCCTGGGTCAACAATCGCCCTTCCACAAGAGACCTGCATATTTGAAATGTTTGATGCAGTTTGCGAAACACATATGCCATTAGCTTACAACAACTCATAACAGCATGTTACAATTCTAGAATTCATATTGGGGTGGTGGGGTAGCCTACTGGTTAAAGTGTATGCTCGTCACGCTGAAGGCCCCAGGTTTGATTCCCCACATGGGTACAATTGGTGAAGCTCATTTCTGGTTTCCCTGGCTGTAATATTGCCTGAACATTGCTAAAAGCGTAAAACCATAATCACTCACTCACTCACTCACGAATCCATACACTGTCTCACTCATATCAAACCCAACCGGAGGTGAGGTGAAATTGGGTGAGAATATTTCGCTCATATGACAACATGCATGCGTGTGTATGTGTATGCACGGCTGCTTGTACTAGCCCAGACTTAAACTGGTTTTATAGTGCTAGCCCACTGAGATACCATGCCGCAGTGAAGCATGAATACCCCACTCAGACACATTATACTGAACAGTCCTTGTTGTACCCATTAATGCCGAGAGCGCCAGGCAGGGACCAACAAGTACCACATTTTAACGTCTTTTGGTATGACACGTTCAGGCATCGAATCCGCAACCTTCCGCTCTCCAGGCGGACGTTCTAACCACACCACGGAGGCGGCAAATGCAACTGGAAACGAAGCATCCACAGAGAACCCAGCATAAGCGAGTGAGAATGGTTTTACGCCGCTCTTAGCAACAGTCCAGCAATATCACGGCAGGGGGGCACAAGAAATAGGCTTCACACATTGTACGCATGTGTGGAATTGAAGCTGGATCTTCAGTGTGACGTGCAGACGCTTTAACAAATAGGCTACCCCACCGCCCCTACCCAGCATAAAACAAATAAATACTTTGATTTTGATCATCATTTGTGACTGACCTTTCTCTTCGTTATCTGACGGCACCTCTTGCATCAGAAGCTTCTGTTGCTCCACCAGTACCCCAGCCGTATGGCTCCCTGGTACACCATCATCCTCGAGGATGCTCATGTCGCTGTCTGACTCTTCTGACATGCCAGATGATACCTCCACACCTGGGTCGTCATCTCCAGTCTTGTACATCTTCATTATCAAAATGCTCTCATCTTCAAGAATGGCGATGTCACTGTCAGAGTCTTCTTCTGCAAGCACGCTTTGATCCATCTTTTCAGTGACAGCTGGACCCATCTCTTCGCACAACTTTGGTGCGATCTTTTCAAAATCATTGCCCATTCCTTCTAGTTCCTGTCCAGTACTGCCCAATGAGTCAAGTATGCTGATATCGCTGTCTGACTCAACCATCATCTCTTGATCTCCTTCTTCATCTGATGGCCAAGCATACCTTTCTGGTTTCAGTTCCTCCTCCTCGGTGTCCAGGATGCTGAAATCACTGTCAGAGTCTTCAAAAACATCTGCTACCACCTCACTCTCTAGGATGGACTCATTTGATATAAACGCAGCCTCAGACTCCAATTTGCTTGCAGTTTCATTCCTGGTTTCATTGGCAGGTGGTTGGACTGTGGTATCATTTGATGTACAAGGAGAATCAGGTTCTTCAACTGTAAACCACAAAAGGTTATTATTTAGCAATATTATTACTTATTATTTTTGGTAGATGTGGCTGCACTTACAAAAACATTACAATTCATTAATTTACTTATTATTTAGGAACTATATTTTAGATCTACATGGTGATTGACAAAAACAAAATTCATTTGTCATAAATCTACTGAAAATATAGAAAACTTGATCTTTGTCTAATGTCTCAGACCTCACAATGAGTCTGAACCAGACAGTCCAGTGATCAGCATCATAAACATTGATCTACACAGTTGGGATATGATCATGATGATGAAATGTGTCAACCCAGTCCCCCCTATCCCACTAGTCTCCTCTTTTGACAGGGCCGGTGGGGTAGCCTAGTGGTTAAAGCGTTGGCACGTCACGCCGAAGACCCAGGTTCGAATCCCCACATGGGCACAATGTGTGAAGCCCATTTCTGGTGTCCCCCACCGTGATATTGCTGGAATATTGCTAAAATTGGCGTAAAACTAAACTCAATCAGTCATTCCTCTTTTGACAAGCATTGGTTGCTGAAGACCAATTCTGACCCAGATCTTCACAGGTAAAATTCTTATTTACAACAAGATATTTTAACATTCCTGTGATCTTTCCATCTTTGATATAGATGTCAGCTCTTTATACCTTGTCACAAATTAAGTTTTAAATTTACTCACTTGTTCCAAAAGCCTGAGACCTGGACCACTTTGAACACCGTCTTTAAAGATGTTAATTTGCGTTTGTGTGCATCATACATAACCATGGAATGTGCTCTTATGGAACCGTATTTATCAAAGCACTTCATATATTTCCAGTTTCAAAGAGTATCTCTCACTAAAAGGTTTTCCATACTCGCACTCAATCATATATACAAAAGGCTGTGAAAACAATGACCAGTTGCAGACTGCTGAGTTAAGGATGTAAAAACATTCACAAACCACTAACAAAATGAGAGATGATCTCTTCTTGTGAATACCTTTTCTTCCTCTTTGACGTACTTCGTATACTGCAGCATTGCATCCTTTGTCTATCAAAGCTCCGATGTCCAAATCCTGAAGTCGAAGAATGGGCACTCCACTTGATTCAGATGCTGATTTAGATTCATGCAACTCCTGGGGAAAAATTTAAAAAAAGACATGGTAAAGAGTAAATAATCCCATTTGTCAGACATCCCAAAGTTAAAACAACAAACCATCTGGTTGAGTGCACAGCTAACACCCAGCCTGTTACCTCTTGATGAAATAGGAATGGCCCATAAAATAAATAACAGAACAGAACTTTATTACAACCCACGAGGACAAAAACCCCAAATGAAGACCTGTGGACAAAACCCCAAAACATGTTTTAACTACTGAGTGATTGGCTTAAGTGACGTGTTTTTATTGAATCAGTAATAGAGATTATCAGGGATAGGGATTAACAGGCACCATTAATTAACTTAGTATTTCGTTTGTAAACATTGAGGATGAAGCTTCATTATTGATTAGGATTAACTGACTTCAAGAGTATTAAAAGCTTAATTAATCAAATTAGTATTTAGATATGTACACATTATTAAGTATTTCAACTCACTGTCAAGATCTCCATTGAAGACTTTCTGATTGGTGTTGGACATGACATCAGGTTGTGTTGAGAGGCAAATTAGTGCTCAGATCGGCTGAATAAATATTTGACTGATAAACAACTTTCATTATTCATTAGGAGCTTTTGGGGTTTTTTTGTCCTACATGGTGGGGGTTTTTGTACCAGGGGGGTTTTGTCCGCACACCGTCAACCGGTGAGGCGTTCGACATTTGAAGACGGAAAACCTTCATTGGCGGTGAATACTCGGTGAAGGCTTTGATGTGAGCTTTTTTTCTAATGTTTTGTTGATATTTCACAGGCGCGAGCTTTTTATATGTTATTCAGGGGTGGAAATAACTTTAAAATTGCTAGTGTACTCCGGTACAGTGGCACATGTAAAATCACTTGCCCTAATAGTTTTTCCACTATACCGGCCGTTTTCTTGTTGATTTTTTAAATAAATAACATTATTAACATTGGAAAGTCAACTGGACACCAGTACAGCGTGATATACAAATTTGCTTGCACCACAGAAAAAAACACTGGACTCGGATGTCCGGCAATTTCCACCCCTGGTTATGACAGTAGATTACCGATTTAACTGTTTATATAAGTGGTGGGAATCGGTTGAAATTTTATAATCGATTATCGGTTGCTATCGGAAATACCCATCCGATCAATGATTGATTGTACAATCGGTTATACTAATTAAGAATTAAATTTTTTTACGTCTTGTGCAATTCCCAGGTAAACATATAAACCCTTTTACAATACTGCAATACTGTATATTTGTCATTTTTTAAATCGTACCTGGGGTACGTATCTGTAGTAGAGCGTTAGCGGCAGTAGCCGGACACATAACAGTGAAAACTGAACAACTCACAGCGGTACCCATCGATTTGGACTAGACTTATAAGATGTGAAGGGAGACAACTGCTATGTATAATGAAATCTACGGAAACTCTGTAAAAGCCTTAGTCTGACTGAGATTCATACTACTTGTTTAACGACTGATTCGGTAGTAACCGGACACTGTCGGCTTAATCCGGACAGTTGTGCGACAGTACCCGGACACTCAACATTTTAAAAAAACAAAACATGCAATTTACACAGAGAAGATCTAGCAATACATTCCAGTCAGTACTAATTAACACCAAACACTGTCCCCATCATTTCCTGCATTCTTTAAACTTTCAATAACATCTTGCAAGATACGCCTTTCCGGCAAAACACGAATTAAATAAAAACAATCAAGCTTTGGGCCTCCACCTCTGATTGGGCCACCGTGTGACATTCTACCCGTATAAAAGGGTGTTATACTTAATATTTTATTGTCCCTAAACAGTGGACCAAATACGGATGTCAACTGCTGTGGTACGCGCCCGACATGGGCTCCAGCGATATCGCGTACAAGCTGTCTATTTGGCCCTGTGCCGACGACCCTTCAGCGATATTGGGGTTTCCGAAAAATAACACTACTCACTCTGATTTTGGAAAATACGTTGTCCCTTTCCTCCTGACTTGACAGGTCGTTTTTGGCTGAAAAGCCCAGCGAGACGAAGGCAAACAGTGGAAGGTTTCTCCCTCCTCTGCCAATTCCGGCAGCAATCAATCGCATAGCAGCATCGCGCCTCAAATTGGCTGCAACTGTTTTCATAGAACTTCGCGGGAAGATACCCGTAAAAACTCTCTGGGAAAGACTTTGCTTTTGCACTGCCAAATGGATCCTTTCTGCAACTGGTGTGGTAAGTTGTGGCAACTTTGGAAATATTGGTCTCTTTGGCACCCTTCCAGCTTTCTCAAGGATAGACTTCCATATCTGTCGGCCATGTTGGATGATTTGCTCGGTCCAAATATTTCCTCCGAATATGTCGGCCCCCCTTGTGGCTTTGGACCACAAGGGGGGCACGAGATTTAACAATTTTACTTTCAGGTTGTCGCGTTACTGTCACTGTCGCTTAAACAAAATGTCAGGCCCAAAGGCCCATGAAAGAAGGTGCAATATCACCACCGATGTGTTGTGATCACGCACCTGCCGCTGTGTGGCGTAATTTGTTTTGATCACGTGGTACTGTTCAGTGACACGTGACTTTTTCCTACAACTACTGATCACAAATACAAGCGTCAGTTTACGATTTTGACCAGATAAATGGTATTTTAACACATTAACTTCTCAACTTGTTTCTCTGTCTTTATTCCACTACTCTTACCTTACAGTCCAATGAGATCAATCAAACAATTCATACATACGAGTATAGAGCACATACATATTTACATGAATTATTACATTTTATTATTTCCATGTCATTATACCACATGATTTCTAAAATTGTTATAATGTACATCATTTATGTGTGAAACGTATCTGTATTTCTTGTACCTGCTGTGTTTATATTTGTAGTTTATAGAATATTGCCACTGTTTCTTCATGGACTGACTGACTGAGTTTGGCTTTACGCCGCTTTTAGCAATATTCCAGCAACATCACGGCGGGGGACACCAGAAATGGGCTTCACACATTGTACCCATGTGGTTCTTCATGGAATGCTATGCAATAAATATCTTATCTTGTCATTAAATCATATTCTGAGTAGTTATTTATTAAATTATTCATTTATCAAATTAATCCTACAAGTGAATGCACAATAAATAAGCATAAATAAATCATTAAATAATTTTACACTTGAATTTATTAACAATAGTGAAAAATTCAGTAGTGTTCGGATAATTGTAATAATATGATGGAATATATTTTTCACGGAGTGATAAGTATAATGGATAAACAAGTAGAAAGTGATATTCATCTTCAATCCATTTTAAGTAACATAGTTTGCTCAGAGACCATATACCGGTATAAATAAGTTTTCTGTATTCTACTCATGTTGACAATTGTTTCAGTTTGCTCATGTTGAATGTATTTTGTCTGTAAAACATTACAGATATAAAAAAACATCAGGTTACCAGGTATAGCAACACCAACACATTTAGGGTTTTAATATTGATTCACTATGAATAGAGATGTTTTACAAAGAAACATAATGTTATATATGTATAAATTGTTTTCCTTTTCTGGCATACTCACGTTTGTATTCAACAGCACCATTTCATTAATGTGTCATGTATGAGCTTTCTCCCCGTGTCTTCTATGTCAGATGACACGAGTGTTGGCCACTGTATTTGGCTCCAATTGCTTTCCTTAAAAGGCACAAAACAGTTTCATTAGTAATTTGTAAATTTGTACAAGAAACTGTTTTGTGTTGGATGAGGGTGTACTCTGCATTTAACATATAAAATTAAACAAAAAAAATCGTAAATGTAAGAATAGTCACATTTTACTCAAATAGATTACCGTAAAATGTCCTTTACTGACTTAAAAAACAACTAAATTATTTTGACTACTGACTCATCTCACTGATTTATTTCAGAGAAATTGCTGTTTAATAATATCAGACATGATGGTGTACCTTCAGTAGACCCACAGCATACATCACTGTGAACACGCCACAGTCTCGGCCATTTGTCTGTTTAGGAACCTAGAAATTATAATTGTTATTGATATGATAATTTACATTTGAACACCAGCATGTTTTTTGAAGACATTTTCGAGAATGAAGTATTAATACATTTCATCAAATATTTTAAATGTGATTGCTTTCTAATTTGTTGTTGAAACTGTTGGATTATTAATGATATACATCCGTGCATAAAGTAAGCACCACCCTGTATTTTTGCCAGTTAATTTTGTATGAAATGAAAATCTACACACTTTCCGAAAAATAATATTTATAATTTGACAGAGCAAGCATATAATATTTTAAAAACGAAAACATGATTGAAATTACGTAGTACTTTAATTAGGATAACTGTCTATATCAGAAACATGTGTTTTCCCGTCCTAAAACAAGTTACCTTATTTTGAAAAGTGAATGTAATAATTGATTGTTATGTCGCCTATAAATTTGTTATTTATTGTCAATGGATAAAAGTTTGTAAACTACGATTTAGGAAAGTTGATTCATTGGGCAGTAATTACAGTCAAACTAAAATAAGGGAAACTTTTATAATGCAGTATAAGTTGCTTTACAAACAAAACAAATTGAATTTTAGCTGTAATTATCAGTATCCAGCAAGAACAAGTGTTTATTCAATACAATAAACTCAAACTCATAAAATATTTATTCCAAAATGTTATTAATGTGGTTTTTTTCAGTTTTTGTCAATTAACAATCTGTATTTTTGGAAAAGGTTTGAATCTTTCACATTCTGGTTCTTCCTGATTATTCATAATTAAGCTTATTTCATGTGTGGTATTTGTAAACCTGTTAATGGATAAAGCTTCTTTAACTGTAGGTTGATCAAATTGATGGCTACACCCTAACTTTTCTGCAGCATCATGTCATATGGTGCTTAATTAATGCACGGGTGTGTATATATATGCTTGTGTAAAATTGATGAATACATTGAATTGAAGCTTCGACTTTACCTTAGGGTAGATACAGGTCTTTCCTAGTAGTCTGTAATGAAATTATAATATCTTCATTCTTTTGATAGGTTCGTAAAGAATATTTTCCTGATATTGTTTATATACTCATGTGTATGAAATGAATGTGGAAATGAGAGCAGTAATGTCTTAACATTTTCTTCCTTTATCTGTTGGTGTAAGAACCCAACCACTGTGGAGAATCGATTGGTCAGGCGCTTGGCCAGTTGCATGTAACCGAAAAGATGACATGGATTATTGCACATGGTGTTAGTGGTTTTGCATGCTGACCAACACTTGATCACAACTGCATAGCTGGAATAGTGCTGACATGCTATAGATATATTATATGTTTAATCCTGGTAATCTTAATAACATCTAAATAAATGTATTGTCACACATTAAGTGAAGCTAAATATTAAACAGAGATTACATGTTGCAGAGTGTTACCGTTTTATGTTCCTCTCTAGCACCCGGTACCGCCCTCCATGGAACAGAGAACCGAGGCATGCTCTGGTCCCACTGCAAGAAGGTATCAGTGAGTCCTAGAAAATAGATACACAGATGGCATTGGTACTACTTGTAGTAACCCATGCATTCTCTGGTGCCACTGCCAGTAAAATATATACACAGATGGCATTGGTACTACTTGTAGTAACCCATGCATTCTCTGGTGCCACTGCAAGTAAAATATATACACACTTGTAGTAACCCATGATGGTGCCACTGCCAGTAAAATAGATACACAGATGGCATTGGTACTACTTGTAGTAACCCATGCATTCTCTGGTGCCACTGCCAGTAAAATATATACACAGATGTCATTGGTACTACTTGTAGTAACCCATGCATTCTCTGGTGCCACTGCCAGTAAAATATATACACAGATGTCATTGGTACTACTTGTAGTAACCCATGCATTCTCTGGTGCCACTGCAAGTAGGTACCAGTGAGTCCTAGAAAAACGATCCACAGTTGCCAATGGTACTAACTGTAGTAATTCCTGCACACATGTAGTGATAATAACATATTATTGTTTAGGTAATTTTCACTCCCAGTAATTGAATATGAAAGACAAATAATACGGTACATATGATTACCCTGTGCATATCGGAACAATCATATTCCCAGGAAGCATGTCATTTTCTTCAATATCCTAAGAAGAGAAGAAAAGAAATTGGTCATGCTCATATGTACAATAGGGAATCTCAGATGTAAATGTTATAGGTAGTAAGAAGATATATCAGATTGGAAAACATAAGTTCTAAGTTAACATAAACCAGTTTTCTATTTTATCATAAATATGAAACATCAAAAGTCATAGAATATCTAGTCTTGATTATGTGAAAATTATGGACATGATTGACTCTATCTAAGGACCTGCCGTTAGCATGTGCCACTCACAATTTGAATATGAAAAACAAATGTTTTTGTATAGGACACACACGTGCTGCCATGTGATGTGACCTGTATCCAATGGAGTGTTGAAAGGATCAGGCAATCCATGTACACAATAGCCCAGTGACACAATGCGTTGTGGTTATTTGCCAACGATGGGGATGGGGGTCTTAATGTCTCGGCCCAAACATTTAGTTTGTAGTTCATGAGTGAACTTTGGGGAACATCGACCTAGTTACGATCATACACGATAGTCAACGCTAAAGAATAATGAGTTTGCTTATCTGCCAAACGTCCTTGGGCGTACTCAAAATAGCAACAAACAATATATACATAGTAAAAGATCACTGTAAATTAGTGATGACACAAGATGTTCGCGAAACAGATACTGACTGTTTTAGCTTGGAGAAGAATCCCCGTGGTTGCCAGCAAGACCACCGTCTCGGTGTCATTTTCGTCTTTGAAGATGCTAAATGTACCATAAAATATTGATAAACTTCTGAAGAGCTTGTAATGTTTTGCTTTTATCAAAGATGAACTATTCAAAGAGTTGGCAAGGTCGAACAATGTTTGTTTTAAATTTTATTTTCATAAATGACAACCTCCAAGACTTTATACACCAGAACGATACCTAAGTGAACTTTGGAATAGAATTGCACAATGATATGCAATGTTTTGGTCGGTTTTGAGTAAAGGGATCTCTTATGTTTTGTAAGTGTTTGCTAACTTGTACTGAAAGTTAATCTTTCCGCTGGTATATTTCCAAAATATGTAATATTTTCTCTTTTAACAAAGCAGATAGTTACCAAAGACAGGTGTCGATGACATGGTCGTCAAGCCATTCATTAGCCATAACAGCTTTCAGTTCTGTTGCTGTTACGAAAAGCCTTTTATAAAGTATGACTCTGAAAAAGATAGTTGCATATATTTATTGTCCCTGAAGCCTTCCTCCTTGGGTCAAGTTTTCTCTTTAACATTTATTTAGAGGATTTTCTTTATGGCCGGAATCGTCTCGACAAAAGCAGGATAAAAAACTTTGGAACAATTATCAAAGACTTTGAGATGTAAGTTCTTACATTCTTGTAAAATGGTATATTTGTCTGTTAAGCATTATATGAATTAGGTCAGGCCGGATGCAGTGGCAGTTTATGTGTTTTCGAAATTTGCCCACCTTCTGTCAGGATCTTCTGTTTCAAATCTGCAGCAGGAATAAAGTACAGGTTATCATGCTGGTTATAAACTGGTCACGGAATAAACTAATCATGAAAATTTCTCTTTACTTTTGTATGTTTAGTTACATCTAGTCATTATGACTCTTGATTGACATGTTAATAACTACCTAGTACATACCTGTTCGCCTCCTTCATGATGTGGGTCTTTTCTGCAACAAGAGACGCCATTGTACAGTGAAGTAAGGTATACAGGTGACTACAGCTGGAATCTCTTGTTTCATATATTGCTGAATATACCTTAACTAAAAGTTACAAAACCCTTTCAATTTCAACAACGTTATCTGCTGAAAGGATCTTCATGAAAAACAATTATGAATACATAATTCTAATAGGCGAGTAGCATAAACAGTGATGATTGTCTGGTCCAGACTCGATTATTTACATACCACCATCTTAAAACTGACATATTGCTCAGTGCGGCATTAAATATCAAGCAAACAAACATTGCAAGTATTTAAATTTCCAAGACTACAGTTTTGTTGCTATACCATCACCAGTTTTTGTCGTCAGATAGTAGGCCCTTCCGCCTCTGTCCACGTACACATGCACCTCCTCGCCTTCAAAGTATTCCAAACATGTGCACGGTGGTGCTGAAATTGTTCTATCCTCCATGTGCACGACCACCTCCCTCTTTAGTGCCCCAGCAATGAGCATAATGGTTCCGATATCTGGATTGCAGACGTTAGTTCAGTGAGTGGTTGTTTAAGCTTTATAACGCCCCGCTTAGAAGTAATCGAACACCAAGACGGGGGAAAGTTCATAAAACGTGGAACGCTTTTAGATAGGTCCATACACTGCAAAGTCACTCTAACCATTGTTCATTACAGATACACAGAAGAAAGGAAACAAAGTTACGAATAGCTCCTAATATTTTATACTAATACGCTTATGAAACTGAGTCAACTTCAGTAAATAATTCATATATAACAACAACATGGGATATTTATTGAAAAGATTAATTGAACATCAATATAAAGTTTAATGTATATGCATTAGTTATCAACATTGGTACTACTTGTAGTAACCCATGCATTCTCTGGTGCCACTGCAAGTAGGTACCAGTGAGTCCTAGAAAATATATACACAGATGGCATTGGTACTACTTGTAGTAACCCATGCATTCTCTGGTGCCACTGCAAGTGGGTACCAGTGAGTCCTAGAACATATATACACAGATGGCATTGGTACTACTTGTAGTAACCCATGCATTCTCTGGTGCCACTGCAAGTAGGTACCTGTGAGTCCCACAAAATATATACACAGATGTCATCAACATAATGGAAAACTAAACATAATTGTTTAAATACTCACTGGGCATGCTGGGACCAGCTAGGATCCTTTCCGTTGCAGCTGCTACCACATCCTTCACTGACTGTTCAGTGGAGGCACGGATGCCGAAACGCTCGCCTAAAGATTCGGCTGTTTCGCCCAACTTGATGAGCTGATAATATATTGGACATGTACGTCAATGTGTGTACAAATATTTCGGCCAAAAACATGTGCTTAGGCAAAATTTACATCTTGTGCTTATTCCTTCGTGAATAAGTCCAACTAACGACATAAAAAGCACGATTTACAGAGCAGCGAATGGTATCAATATTACGCAAAAAGTGAGCTGTTGATATTTAGAATGTCTCATTTACAAAGGACTTTTGGCTTTTGGCAAATACTCACCTGTTGAGCGTAATGCTCCTTGTGCACAAAGCCATGAGCGAAAGTGGCCAGCACAAGGACATCGGGGAATCCTCCGAACACTTCCCAAAGTGAGCTCCCCTCCCCACATGCTACCTTTGAAGAGGGTACCTCGACAAATTGCCTGTAGGAAAATATAGTGACTTGATTCATTTTAGTCCTAATACTAAGAAATGTCTAAACAGTATAGTTATAGTGATAATGTTCGACTTTACGGCGCAACCATGGCCTTAGAGAGTGGATACAGATCAGTTCACACGTGTGACCATGTTGCATGATTGGATGCCATTGTAGGCCGTATGCTGCGCACAGACCTAATTATGTAAAAAATAACCGTTATATTCAGCTGAAACAATGCTAGAGTATATACGAATACCAACTCGCTTTACTATCACCATACCTTCTCGTGTTGGGCACACAGTTTGGCGCAAATCGGAATTTAAAGATGCCTCCCGCTTCGATGTCCTCCAAATGTTTCATACAATAGAGTCCATCCACTATTGCAGAGATGGCACCACTGGGATCATTCTGTAGGCGAATAAACAAATTATTGTTTAAACTCTAGACTATTTCATGTGGCTCTAAGATTTCAAAAATATGACTCTTAAAACGCGTTTACTCGAATTGTGTTCTCTGTTAGAACCACCTCACTTTTGGCAAACAGTGTACCTTTCTGGCGCTTATAAGTCAGAAAACGGGCACTCTACAGTTGTAAGCACCACATGTGATTGATGAAGTGTATTTATCAGAACCATCTCACTTTTGGCAAATAGGGTACCTGTGTGGCGCTTATAAGTCAGAAAACGGGCACTCTACAGTTGTAAGCGCCACATGCCATTTACAAAGTGTATAAACCTTTTGGGATGCATGCCTTCTATGTGAGTAGGTTGGAGGATAATGACGGGGTACGTTTAAGCAAATGTTCCTGTCTAAATCTACTCCAAGCCGCAGCATTTCTCTTGGGATTGCTGGCTTATATTTTCGGCTGAGTGGCTACAAGTGGAAAACAACGGTGTGTCATTGAGAGGATCCTGGTAGCATGTTAGATGGAATTCGTTATGTTTCATATACGACACGAGTGGAAACTAGTTATGATCTTGTGTATTTACTCTGGGCGCCTGTTACCAACTGTATACGTTTATCAGTAAAAAACTTTGGGCAACTCTACACCTCTTATAAGTCAGAAAACGGGCACTCTACAGTTGTAAGCGCCACATGTGATTGATGAAGTGCGTTTTTATCAGAAACATCTCACTTTGGGCAGGGTAAAGTCAGAAAACGGGTGTACCTGTGTGGCGCTTATAAGTCAGAAAACGGGCACTCTACAGCTGTAAGCGCCAAACATGTGATTGATGGAAGTGGTATTTCGAATGGAGACACCAGAACCACTGTGTTGTGTCCCTCTCACATTTTGCTGTTTAACATGAGTACCTGAAACATGTGTACCTGTGTAGGCGCTTATAAGTCAGAAAACGGGCACCTCTCAGAAAACGGGCACCCTACAGCGTGTGAAGTGTAACAGCGCCACTTAAGTGATGATTGATGAAGTGCGTAAGTTTTATTAGAAACATCTCACTTTGGGCAAACAGTGTACCTGTGTGGCGCTTATAAGTCAGAAAACGGGCGCTCTACAGCTGTAAGCGCCACATGTGATTGATGAAGTGTATTTATCAGAACCATCTCACTTTTGGCAAACAGGGTAGTCAGAAAACGGGCACTTAGAAACATCTCACAGCTGTAAGCGCCACATGTGATTGATGAAGTGTATTTATCAGAACCATCTCACTTTTGGCAAACAGTGTACCTGTGTGGCGCTTATAAGTCAGAAAACGGGCACTCTGTAAGCATGTGTAAGCGCCACACAGTGTACCTGTGATTGATGAAGTGTATTTATCAGAACCATCTCACTTTCAGAACCATCTCTACAGTTGTAAGCACCACATGTTTGGCAAACAACGAATTGTACCTGTGTGGCGCTTAAGTCAGAAAAAGTCAGAAAACGGGCACATCTCACTGGGCAAACAGCTTATGTAAGCGCACTACACATGTGATTGATGAAGTGCGAACCATCTCACTTTTTATTAGAAACATCTCACTTTGGGCAAACAGTGTAACAGTGTACCTGTGTGGCGCTTATAAGTCAGAAAACGGGCACTGCTACAGCTGTAAGCGCCACATGTGATTGATGAAGTGCGTATTTATTAGAAATCTCATCTACCAGGCGCTTTTGGCAAACAGTGTACCTGTGATGGTGCTATTAGAAACATCTCACTTTTGGCAAAAGTCAGAAAACGGGCACACTACAGTTGTAAGCGCCACTTTCCATTGGTACTGTGTATTTATCAGAAACATCTCACTGTTTAGGTAAGGAAACGTGCTCACTACACCTGTAAGCGCCAGAAGTTCATCAACAAGCAGTAAACGGGTAAATGAGATTTGTGAAGGCCACATGGCATTGATGCTGTGTGTGTATTAGTTGCATTGTAATTGAAGCAGGCATTTGATACGTGGTACAAATACAAAGAAATCAGCAGAATTCCAGATGCAACATGGATGTATGTGGTGTTTATTACATGGCAGATTGTTTTATTGACCTGTTATCTTTCTGACGCAAAATGGATATATGTTTTAATGCTTTGTTGTTATGAATGATTTTACTTACTAGGTTCTTGTTGATTATCTGTTCAAGCTAAAATATAAATATAGCCATTAGACACAAAGCTATAAGACAAAAAAATATCTAAATGTGAGGATAATTTACTTTGAATATGTGTGCCGAAATGCACTTAGGCGTAAACATAACCCTTCAATTAAATGTTGAACTTATTACAATTAACTTTATATCATTCAAAAGTTATTGATTCATTAGATAACGAAGTTAGTGTATAAACTAAAAAATAACGATAGTTAGAAATTGGTATGATGAGTAGATACCAGCTATTCAATAAATGATAAGAAGTGGGCGGTGGGGTATAGTGGTTAAAGCGAAATTGTCACGCCGAAGACTCGGGTTCGATTCCCCACATGGACACAATGTGTGAAGCCCATTTCTGGTGTTCCCCGCCGTGATATTGCTGGAATATTGCTAAAAGCGGCGTAAAACTAAACTAAACTCAGTCAGTCAGTCAGTCAATCAGTCTATTGAAGTACAGATGCTCTTGTTAGCTGCGCATGGTGAGAACACCAATGAAAGACACGAACTATAACCGTAACATTCCATAATATATTTTAATGTCATTGTTTGCATTGTTTTCTTACGTAACAAAACATACAAAAATGATTATGTACAAGCATAATGTTTGCTGTACATTGTAAGTATATAAACTAAAAAAAACTAATATGTTTTGCCCAATTAAGAACAATTAAGAACTGTAGAAATCTGATCGAGAGTTTGGGGTAAGAACTTTGGAAATTAGCAAAATTGCCAGATCGATATTGGGCGGATTACCGGCAAAATGTAAAAGTTACCTACAGTTAATGGAGTATTGTGTACATTGCACGCTGGAATGATGGTGTAGGTGAGTCATGTCTATATCAAGACAGTGCTCTATATGTTGGTTAGTATTGTGAAAACTGAAAGGAAAAGGAACAATTAAATAGAAACTTCAACAAACAACGCAAATACAGGGATAATACCACTTCATGGCTATCGGCCGAATTGACATAACCGCTAGAATTAGGTTTCTGAAAAAGGAATAAATAGAATCCATTTCCGTTCATAATTTGTCAACAATGAAAGTTACTCAAAACAAGGCCCGTGAGGGAGAACCCTTAAGACAGCCACCTGAACTATAACTCGGCTAGAAAGATAATTTAAAATATTCTTTAATTTATCGTTTTCAGAAAAAGAATATAATATATCATGTATATTACCGATATCACGTGGCGTTTCCAGCTGCACATGATATGTCTCAGGATGTCTGCCGTCTGCATGCGATGTTTAGTGCCAGCTGAGATCGAAGATTATTGTGATTATTAACACCTTATTTGTTTCTATAATTGTAAAGTGTAACCAATATGCGTGAGCATGAATATTATTTACAACTTAATCACTGAAAAAAACTTTTAGAATGACACAATATAATTACAAATACACTTTTATTATTTTTTGAATAAATAATACATATGATACAGGTTGCATTGAACCCCCCTTCTTCAACAATCGTGTTAATGCCCCTTATTGAAGACTTCTACACGAAGCATCCACATGAAAGCAATAACATGTTTCTCAGTAGCACTATATACTGTGTGTGGACTACAGCGAGGACCGTGTTGTGAAGAACATTAACTAAATATATCATTGCTCATTGCTATATTTATTTCCATATGAATTCTTAAGGATACAGTTGGAAAAAAGTACTTATTGATTCTTTGCGAGGCATGTGGTATGCGTTGGAAGGACATGGAGACAACTGTCTATTGCTGGTAAGGACGTACCAGTGCTACTTCTGGGTACGTGATTAGGTGACTGTTATGCAGAAGTTGTTATCCATTAAAAGGTCATGTACTTGAGATTATTAGTACATGACCTTAATTAACATCGATTTTCATTCTGGGAAAGAAGTGGACTTTACATAATTTCCATTCCTGAGTAAAAGTTTGAGATAAGGAGATTTGTGTGATAAGCATACCATCGTCCGTGTGTGTTGCTGAGGGCGCCACAAACGGCACACCCTCAGGCCACCAAAAAGGCCGAAGGCCTTCGTTACCCCAAATACATCTGGATCCCTTGGCACCTGGGAACAACAGGATAGATTATATCATATATGTTACATTGCAGGTAATTCTAATAATATGGTATATATAATATTGAATAATTCTTTCTTGTGTGTGACGATACACAAGCATGCACGCACGCACCCAAAACGCACAGACGTTACCTTTGTCAATTGTGACCTGAGTGACCGCTCGTCTTAATAGGTGGACGTCCCGGACGTCGGCGTAGTCCACCGCCACGGAAATGCGTCGAAGGTCGACTTTTTCCTCTAAAAATATTTCAAATTAAATAAGGTGGTATTTAACATGATATATGTTATGCTCTTACTGTAAGTAAAGTATGAGGAGTGAGAGCACGTACCTTCCTGAGTGGTAGCGGGCGCTACCGGCGCAATATTCAGTATGTTAACCAGGTTGCTGCGGCTGACAACCTCAACCATATCTTGGTGTCATGTTTTAATATAATTAAGTTAAAAGGCATTAAAAAGCTTTAAGTGATTGTATTTTATGGTAAAGCGATGAGACACGAGTTTTTTCAATAGATAGTCCACTTACTTATATATAATATATATTACAATATGGGAATGAAACGTTTTTTATATTAGCACATATACTTTGTTTTTAAATACTATACATGTATCAGTAATTAAGAAGTTCAGCATTGACGAGAGCTCTATTTGTGTACACCCAAGACGGCATGTCAGGCTATTCGACATTAACAATCTGGATATGATTTCAGATGAAATGTAAAAAAAGCAAACCAACAACCTTCAATGTTCCTTCGGTTGTGAGGTGCACTAGGGCCATTTGTGGCATCCCTTGAATTTTACAAATATTCCGCACCTTAATGTAAAGTAAGGCAAGTAAAACAACAATGATAAAGAATTTGAATATATTGTATTTATTTCATATAGAAAAATATGTATTCTCTAGGAAAGAGTTTAAAATGTAAACTTTATAGGGCATGAACGAATACGAACACAAACTTAGTTATTAGCACAACATAAATATACGTAGACAGTGTCTTAAAGTTAAAAAACATACCCTTTGCCTTAATCTCCCCATTCTTTTCCTGGCATTCGCCCGTTTCCTTTTGTATTCAGGGACTGGATTGTTCTATATCAACACATGAAGCGAACTATTATGATACTGGGAAGAGTATTGCAATACTAACTAAATAAAACTAAAATATATACACGAGTTTGACAAGTTTGTATAGCAGTGTGCCCTCCCGCCCAGCCCTTACTGTAATATTACAGTAACGCTACGGTACTTACTGTAATGCTACAGGGCTTACTGTAATGCTACGGTGCGTACTGTACCATCTACGGTGCTTACTGTAATGCTGCGGTATACGTTTATGGCGCTTAAGTTAGAAAACGGGCACTCTACAGCTGTAAGCGCCACGTGTGAAGTGTATTTATCAGAACCATCTCACTTTTGGCAAACAGGGTACCTGTGTGGCGCTTATAATGCTACAGTGCTTACTGTACCGCTACGGTGCTTACTGTAATTCTACGGTGCTTACTGTAATGCTACGGTGCTTACTGTAATGCTACGGTGCGTACTGTACCATCTAGGGTGCTTACTGTAATGCTACGGTGCGTACTGTACCATCTACGGTGCTTACTGTAATGCTACGATGCTTACTGTAATCCTACAGTGCTTACTGTAATGCTACGGTGCGTACTGTAATGCAGCGGTGCTTACTGTAATGCTACGGTGCGTACTGTAATGCTAGCGGTGCTTACTGTAATGGTACGGTGCTTCCTGTACCGCTGCGGTGCTTCTTTACTGTCATGCTATGTGCAGCCCTTAATGTAATGCTACAGTACTTCCTTACTGTAATGCTACAACCCTTAATGTAATGCTACAGTCCTTACTGTAGGTCTACAATCCTTCCTTACTGTAATGCTACAGTACTAACTGTTATGCTACAGTACTTAACTGTTATGCTACAGTACTTATTGTAAGGCTACAATCCTTCCTTACTGTAATGCTACAGTACTAACTGTTATGCTACAGTACTAACGGTTATGCTACAGTACTTATTGTAAGGCTACAATCCTTCCTTACTGTAATGCTACAGTACTAACTGTTATGCTACAATACTAACTGTTATGCTACAGTACTTACTGTAAGGCTACAATGCTTCCTTACTGTAATGCTACAGTACTAACTGTTATGCTACAGTACTGTTATGCTACAGTACTAACTGTTATGCTACAGTACTAACTGTTATGCTACAGTACTTACTGTTATGCTACAGTACTAACTGTTATGCTACAGTACTTATTGTAAGGCTACAATGCTTCCGTACTGTAATGCTACAGTACTAACTGTTATGCTACAGTACTAACTGTTATGCTACAGTACTAACCGTTATGCTACAGTACTAACTGTTATCCTACAGTACTAACTGTTATCCTAGAGTACTTATTGTAAGGCTACAATCCTTCCTTACTGTAATGCTACAGTACTAACTGTTATGCTACAGTACTACCTGTTCTGCTACAGTACTGTTATCCTACAGTACTTATTGTAAGGCTACAATCCTTCCTTACTGTAATGCTACAGTACTAACTGTTATGCTTCAGTACTAACTGTTATGCTACAGTACTAACTGTTATGCTACAGTACTTAGTGTAAGGCTACAATGCTTCCTTTCTGTAATGCTACAATACTAACTGTTATGCTACAGTACTAACTGTTATGCTACAGTACTTACTGTTATGCTACAGTACTTATTGTAAGGCTACAATCCTTCCTTACTGTAATGCTACAGTACTAACTGTTATGCTACAGTACTAACTGTTATGCTACAGTACTAACGGTTATGCTACAGTACTTATTGTAAGGCTACAATCCTTCCTTACTGTAATGCTACAGTAATGTTATGCTACAGTAACTGTAACTGTTATGCTACAGTACTTATTGTAAGGCTACAATGCTTCCTTACTGTAATGCTACAGTACTAACTGTTATGCTACAGTACTAACTGTTATGCTACAGTACTTATTGTAAGGCTACAATGCTTCCTTACTGTAATGCTACAGTACTAACTGTAATGCTACAGTACTAACTGTTATGCTACAGTACTTATTGTAAGGCTACAATGCTTCCTTACTGTAATGCTACACTACTTACTCAGCATCTTCGGTGATTTTAAGTGATAATAGAATTATGTACATAACTGAGTTTTAATATATAATATGTTTGAAAGGAAACGTTCACGCACACTCTTCTTGAAATAGGGAGGTAAAACAAAGAAAGGCAGGACACGACCAGTGGTTTCAAATGCATGCTGATTGGCTAAATGACATCAAAGTAAATACAGGTCACTGTGACGTCGTTGCACTATACCTCTACAATAATCAAGGGTAAACATTGTGTATTTGATATGTTACAATGTTGTAAAAAATAACATTAACAGCTGTTTTGCGCATGTTACACATGTAATTTGGAACTAATTCATTGTTTGTTTAGCTAAGGCTTACTTTTTTATTACATGTACTTCTATTACTGTGTGTATATTTACTGAAGGTGGCTGTGTGGACTAATAAATGAAATGCATGTATGTAGATTTCCTTTACAACGTTATTCACATGGCTACATACGTCTTTCTTCCCTTTTTGGAAAGAAAGGCCGTATCCGTGGTATAGTAGTAGAGGTAGTGGGTTCAGTATGGGGCCGCGTCATACCAAATGACGTTGACATAAGTTACTTGTTGTTACCCTGCCTTGCGCTCGTTTTTAGGGGTTACTGAGTGGGCTTTCACTAAAATAGGCATTAGTATTGACTGGTACAAGAAGCAACACACATACGCATGTTCACGTAGTCATATAAGTGCTATTATATTGGGCGCAGCGTAAACCCCATTGGATGTAACCTCAGCTCCAGTTGTTGCTTTTAAAACATTAGGGGGTAAGTGGGGTGTGTGTGTGTGTGTGTTACATACTTTTCGCTTACACATTAATTTATAAGAGGCTCGGCGTCATTACGCATGGCACTAATTATATCATTTTTTCATTAATGTGACGTGAAATGTAGGTAGATATAATACTAATCTATGGATTTAAACACATTTCTAGATACATGTGTGAGGTTTAAGGTGTTTTTGACAGCACGGGCCAAGTCGGACTGAACAGAGACCAAACACTTTTGATTGAGGCTATGTTGAGAATGGAGAGAGAAAAGGGCTTCACTTTAACGGAGCAGTTTTCTTTACATGTTGCATTTTATAACATTACAAAGCGACATTTAGGTAGATATCATACCAGTCTATGGAATTAAACATATTTCAAGATACGTGTGTTATGTTTAAGCTGCTTTTGACCGCTCGAGCCAAGCCAAGCCGGGCGGAAAATTGTGGCCGAGATAATGTTGAGAGTGTGGGGAAGAGATCGTATCTTTTTAATGTGGGCATGCTTTAAATACGATGAATAGTGAATTTATGGGGTGGTATGTGATTGGATAAAGATGTAAAAACATTTTCGGGCCGACGGAAATGTGTATCGGAATTGGCTGAAGTATTTATACGTTTTATATCCCGTTTCGTTTAACGATTCCACTTTTAGACGTAACCTCGGTTTTAGCCAATTTACTCGTAATAAAGTTATTATGGTACGCGTTTGTGGCTTCAAATTTGATCATTATTATCATGAGTGTATGTTGCATTGGTTAATTGTAGGCATGGTTTTCGTTAATGGGTTTATTAGCCAATAATAGATTTGGCCCGCCTTGGCCCGGCCCGGCCCGACTTTTAGGCCATCCCAGCTTACACTGCATGTAATAATAGACCGATCCAGTCTGTCAATCAAAACTAACGCATGCGTCACTTTTGGCCAATCAGAAGGCCGGGTGCGCTGTGTGGATTTGTCAGACGTATTTCCGGGGTCAAACGATGCCTCCGAAGCAATGTGCTTCGAATTATGCCATTTAAACACGCTATATCTATTACATATTGCTGTGATTTGATGTGTACTTTTAACAAAACCATTACGGTCAAGACAAAACAAATTGAGGCGGATCAAGGAGCGCGATAGGTCTCGCGATCAGATAATCGTCTGCACCATCGTTCACGAAACCTACGTCATGCACGCAGATAAGAATTTGCACGAATTTCCACACTTATGCACATGTTCAAAATCATTACCAATTGATGACAACAAATAGCAGTTTAAGACTTTGCAAGTGTTATAAACACGGACAATTCTTGTAACTACAAAATTGTTTTTACTTAACGTTTTTAGTCACTACTGGGCATTGAGTTGGTACGCCATACAGCTGAAGTGAGACAGGCGAGAAAACGGTGACACAATGTAAACAAATCTGCCAGCGATCTGATTTCGGTTCTAGGGTCGATCGAAATAGCAAAACTTGTTACATTAAATAACAATGTGGCGGATATACATAGATCTTAGATATTCCTAAATTTGTCACACATTTTAGGATGTTTTAAATTTCAAAAGCGCAACCTGAAGGCCTACTGCATAGTACCTTGTTAATAGTGCAAAATATTCGAGGAGTAATACTGTTGCCTATCATGCAATATCCAAATATCAAAATTTATTCGTATGAGTGCCTATGAAACTATGCTTCAAATATTTCAGAATCTGTATAAAGAGATGGATGGGACTTTGAACTGAGTTACGTTCCTCCATGTGGAGCGAATACGAAAACTATGTGAGAAGAATAGTGACTTTCTGGAGTATTGGGCGGAGTGAAATAAAGTGTATATCTTAATTAAGAGGACATTTGAAGTTTTGTTACAACATAAAATTATTCACATATATTGGTACATTTTAGGAGCAATATTGCAATTGTCATTTTGATTAATTCACTGGAAATGATAGCAAGGTATGTTTTAAGAATCTTGGTCTTTTTAGTAAATGTGGAAGGGTAATAAATAAATACTAATCTAATCAATTATAAATAATTATTTAATTGATTGACATATCAGATTCATGTGATTTTAAGGCAGAACTAGGTAAACAAACACTATACAAATCATGACAGGACAATCACTTGGTATTAACTTAGTTTGTTGGCTCCTGCTTTTAGATGTGTTTTTTTTAAATAATATATTTACTAATAAGATAATTCTGAAAGTGATTGCTAGTATCATAACTCATCAAAGTTATTTCAACATCCAGAGAATTTGATAAAGCAACCCTATGTTTTGGTCACATCCTGGTCAGGCATTATCCAGTCCTGGAACTTACAGAAATCTCAGTTGACTTTTCATGTAATGGGATAAATATTGAAACATATATTTAACCCAGATGTGATGTAATGTTTCTTATAAATCATCAGTTTTTTAGGAGGCTACTAATATTTGAAGACTGAGCCAAAGCTAGTGTTTATTAAGATGTTGGTTTTGGACAAATTGTTCAAGGTTTGTTGATGGTTATTTAGAAAATGAGCTTCATTAAATTGCACACTGGTTGTAGGAGGTGTTTTCCTAACCTCTTGCTATGACTTTTACCAAATTTTGAATCAACCTTACTATAATTTGCATGACACTAGTAAGTATCTCAGAAAAGGAAATAGATCAAAATTTAGAAATGTCCTCTAGGGATATAGTCTCAGATCCAATAAAACAGAGATTGTCATTGTTTAGGAAGCAATAATGTCAATATATGTATTTGTATTGACAAAAAGCTTTGAACTTAGGATATATTCTTTGCACCTAATTTGCACTAGTAGTTAGCAGTTAAATATCTCTGAAGGAAAAACAATATTTTTGTATTTTGTGTAACATAGTATTTCAATGCTAGTTAATTGTTCGGATAACAGCTAGTGGATCATCTGTTCAAAGATCTTGCATCACAGGTTTCCTATTTCTGGAAGATGGGTCACTGGACAGGTGCAGACTGTATCTTGGATCTTCTTTGTGTTCTGGTGCTGTGACATACCTGTACATAAACGCTGGCAGTTCATGAAGTCAAGTATTGTGGAAGTTTGTATGTAAGTTAGGATTCCACAACAAACTACATACATTGTATAGAAAAATAAAATGGAAAGGATGGTTTTAAAAAATGGATTTCCTTATATTCAGTGTCATTTTAGGATGGTGTACAGATTTTGAAGAGGGAAACTTTACTGAGAATTGCTGCAGATCAGCTGTTGAATATTTGCTTCTGGGTCGGTCCGGAGAACATCCATGGAAACATACTGTTTACAAGCCTAATCATATTTTCCAGATTTCCAAATAAGATCAATAAGTTATGCGCTGTGACTGATTTGTTTACATTAATTATATACAGACAAATAAGATGCACGAAGTAGTAGACGGGAAATATTTTCTGCTTTTTATTTACCATTCATTTAATTCATTAAAACAAAGAAACCCATGTTTTCAGATTATTTAACTAAGTTTGAACAACACCAACGGATAACTAAGTAAAGGCACCACGCGCAACGTTGACAATCTATTTTATAGATACCGAAACGATCTGCAACATGAACATGTGGATGTTTTCGCGGTTTTTATAAACTATAATGATGGGAATTATTTTGGGGAAAAATCCAAGCAACAAAATTCAGTTACCCTTCCCCTGCTGATATCTTTGACGGAGGTGAATTGCCAGATAGATTAATTGATTCGAAAGAAAATACGCTTCCGTGAGTTGGTCGAGACGATTTTTCATCGGGCATGTAACTCATTTTCACTCGCCAATTGCAATCTGCCAACTAAAATATATTAAAAATCACATACCTATAACTTGCCTCTTTAAATATCATTCACAAAGGACGGATACCAAAGTACCACAAGCATAATTCATCAACAACGTTCACAATCACGTACGTTTCGCCGGCGGTGACGCCATTGTGATTAGTCAGTGGTTGTCCCCCCTAACGTCAAAAACGAAGTGGGCGGGGCTTATCGGCCGGCACTGGATCTGTCTATTTCCTGGTGGGTTGCAATCAGCAGTAACACCGCCTTTCATCCGGGCGACTTTATGGACCGAAAGTACGTTTCTTGGAAATTCGATTAGACAATGGCAGCTGACGAGACGTATCCCAAACGCTGAGACTTTGGAAAAGGTAGATATTGAGATGTAGATATTTGTTCGGAAGGGTTTGGGAATAGTTTTATTGTAGATCTACACAGGCTTAACTCCGTACAACCTTTTTGTTTAGGGGAGGCAACTCTATTCTTGGTTCTGCCTGTAAGCTGTGTCACCTGATTTACAACAGACAAACACGAAAGCTGTTATCATAAGCGGATCCGGAGGGGGAGGTGCAGGGGTGTTCGATAGTCAAGAGATCACGAAAGCCTTTGCAGAATTTGGAGGATACATTACCAGTCCTACCTTCTGTTACTGACAGTATATATAAGGCATAAGGTATATCCCTAATGCTCAACACAATACGAGTATCCCATGTCTCTTTTACTTTCAAACGTGATCTCAGAGTTTCGATTTAGAATCTAATTAATTGTAGGACAACACATACTTTAGTGGATCATGTGTACCTAGCTGTGATATGGTACTGGGTACCAGAATTACTAGACTTTATATGTAGCATACTGGGTACTAGAATTGATATAGCGTACTGGGGTACTAGAATTGATATAGCATACTGGGTACTAGAATTGATATAGCATACTGGGGTACTAGAAATGATATAGCATACTGGGTACTGGAATTTATATAGCTTACTGGAATTGATATAGCATACTGGGGTACTGGAATTGATATAGCATACTGGGATTGATTCAGCATACTGGGGTTCTGAGACTGATGTAGCATACTGGGGTACTAGAATTGATACAGCATACTGGGATTGATTCAGCATACTGGGGTTCTGAGACTGATGTAGCATACTGGGGTACTAGAATTGATACAGCATACTGGAGTACTAGAATTGATACAGCATACTGGGGTACTAGAATTGATACAGCATACTGGAGTACTAGAATTGATACAGCATACTGGGGTACTAGAATTGATACAGCATACTGGGGTACTAGAATTGATACAGCATACTGGGGTACTAGAATTGATACAGCATACTGGGGTACTAGAATTGATATAGCATTCTGGAATTGACATACATACTGAGTACCAGAATTGATATAGCATACTGGGTACTAGAATTGATACAGCATACTGGGGGTGTACTAAAATTGATACAGCATACTTGATACAGCATACTGGGGTACTAGAATTGATATAGCATACTGGAATGTACTAGAATTGATACAGCATACTGGGTACCAGAATTGATACAGCATACTGGGTACTAGAATTGATACAGCATACTGGGTACTAGGAATTGATATAGCATACTGGGTACTAGAATTGATACAGCATACTGGGTACTAGACTTGATACAGCATGGGGTACTAGAATTGATACAGCATACTGGAGTACCAGAATTGATATAGCATACTGGGTACTTGATACAGCATACTGGGTACTAGAATTGATACAGCATACTGGGGTGCTAGAATTGATACAGCATACTGGGTACTAGAATTGATACAGCATACTGGGTACTAGAATTGATACAGCATACTGGGTACTAGAACTTGATACAGCATACTGGGTACTAGAATTGATACAGCATACTGGGTACTAGAATTGATACAGCATACTGGGTACTAGAATTGATACAGCATACTGGGTACTAGAATTGATACAGCATACTGGGTACTAGACTTGATACAGCATTAGAGGATATGAATTGGGAAAACCTTCAAAATCTATTTCACAGACCCATTGCTTACATGCTGTAATTCTACAATAATACTGTTCAAAGTGATAATATCCCCAATTCACTCACTCACACATGGAAATAAGATTAACTGAGAGTTAATTTCATGTGATTTGAACATAGAGATCATTTCAGGTATATAAAAAGAAAGGCCCACATATACTTTTCATTCCATCAGTAATCATTAGTGATACGAGATAAATTGTACCTGAAAAGTCAGCTTGACAGGGTTAGAACATAACTCTTTAAAGGTGAAGCCAAAAAACTGCTTGTGAATTTTAAGCTACAAGCTAAATGAAATTTAAAGAAGCAGAAACTTAAAAATAATTCCAAAATCAATAACCTTTAGTTTTCACAACCTTAACTAAACATGTTAAATAATGACACAAGTCAACTGTCAAGTCAAAAACTTTAGTGGTAATACTTTTAACATTTTACATGTCTGTCGGAACATGTCTCACTCTCTCTGGACTGGAAAACTGTAACACTGTCTGACTAGTCAATATCATAGTTAAAGTCAGTGTTCACTGCAGGTATCATATGGTAGGACGCTTTGACCTTTAGCTATTGATCCACCATCTGTTAATAAATGGCCTTGGTCTGAGCTGGGAAAGAGTGGCAGAGCTTCAGATAAGATTTAGCTTATGTGGGTACTGTACCCACTGTATGTTTTTGGAGTGGGTATTTCATTTTCCGTTACCCACTGCTTTCAAATATGTGCGTATTTCAGTCATTTTACTCACCTAAGTATTATGTCATTGAGCAAGTTTACTTAGCAGGTATGTTCTGCCTTATGTCATACTTAATCAAAACCAACTTAAATATAATGGAAATGATTTCATAAAAAAATCACTCATCCTATACTGACATTAGAACACTTGTCCTATACTAGCAGTACAACTTGATAGCATTCGATGTCTTTTTCATTCATGATTTTTATAAATATATTCCGGACGCATTTGTTTTAAACATTTTGCGTATCTAACATTTTAAATGCGTAATTGGTACACAACAATTATTTTTCAATGCATAATTGGAAATTTTCTATGCATATTTTACCCGGATACGCAGCTCATCTGGGCCTCTGAGTAGGTCCCTCAATATGAATGTGCATTAGCATGTTGAGTGTTTGATTCGAAAGTCTGCATCTCCAGTCATTCTTTATCCTTTTCATAGTTGAGGTGAAATTGGGTTTAACGTCGTGCTTGAGAATATTTCGCTCATATGACGACATGCATGCGTGTGTATGTGTATGTGCGGCTGCTGGAACAAGCCCAGACTGAAGCTGTTTTTATAGTGCTAGCCTACTGAGATACCATGCCACAGTGAATCATGAATACCCCACTCAGACACATTATACTGACTCCGAGCCGACCAGTCCTTGATGTACCCATTAATGCCGAGCGCCAGGCAGGGACCAACAAGTACCATATTTTAACGTCTTTTGGTATGACGTGGCCGGGGATCGAACCCGCGACCTTCCGCTCTCCAGGGGATGCTCTAACCACTACACCATTACAGCGGTCTTTCACAAAAGGCATGAGATAGGGGAATGATGCTAGTGAATTTGGGATTAGGGGTACATCCCCCTTAACTGTTACAAAAGAGGGGGACCTGACACCAAGCAGGGGGATCACATATTGACTAAAGATAGGTATTTACTGTAATGCTGATGCTGTCACTACAATGCTTAACTATTCACATGAGTTTTATTACCTTGGCTTTTGGTTCAGCACTTGTGAAATAAACTTCTCTCTTTCTTAGCTTTCCATGCTGCAACAGCAGCATCATAGGGAAATTCCTTAGATCTGGGCCCCTCAGTTTGGATTGTAGAAGGGGGTCGTCTTATCTGTGGGTTACACTTTCGTGAAACTTTTTTCAGGGGGTAAGAAAATGACATTACATATTACATTGTTGAGTGAATGAACAAGAGAAGACGACTTTGTCAGTGAAGACAGTAAATTTGCAATTAAACATTATGGACAAGATTGTTTACCATATCAGTTCTAATTTGCTTTTGCTTTGCATTGTAGTATTATATGCAGGGATTAAGATTACAGTGTGTATTTGTCAGACAGATGAATTCTGATGCAGTGATCAGGAAAATCTATTATCTGAAACTGTTATTTTATCAAGATAAATATATTCTAGTATTGTGTAATTCTAACTGCAGGTTTTGCTCTATCAGTGTAAAATATTTATAATCATAACTAAGGTTATGTGACAGCACTTCTGTGTATTGTTTCTGCTGTTACCCGTTCTGAAGTATACGCTAGGTGTGCCAGGCCATTTTTAGTTTGACACGAGGTTGTGATATTTTCAACCAATAGAATTACGAACGCCGCCGAGCTGCTAAATATGCAGCACCTGATTGGCTGAAGTAAACCTACATTAATATATGCAAAACCGAAAATAGATATAGGTCAAGAAACCGCTTTGGTATTTGTCATGAAAAGAGAAAGAATGATGAAACCGGTTTGGTTTATTAACAAACAGCAGAGTTAATCACCATGATTCGCAGTCTTGTTTATATAATTTCCACAGACGCTTTTAATTTGTGATTTGTAAATGCGTCCACACATGTTACGCAGATGCATGAGTTGACACAATATGATAGGTACGTGGTCATTCATATTGCGTGACAGGTCGGGCATCGATTTTCATTTCGTGCGGGAGATGTACCTTAAAGGGGAGAATCCCGCAATCGCGCAACCTGGATGCAATACTGCCGAGACACTAAAAAAGTCGTCCTTTATTAAAAAATTGAACACTATAATGAATTTTTAAATGCATATAGTGTATTAGCGTCCATTAATTTCGACCCTATCATGATTCAGCATGTAGTCGACATGTGTCTTAATATTCTCTATTTATTTTAAGGTAGCAGAGTATGTCTAATCAGCCTGAAAATGGTGGTGGCAAGAGAAGGGAAAAGGGAAGGAAAGGAGCAACTTCTGGTGGATTCCTAAAGGGAAAGCAAGATAGTGGGAAATCAAGACGGAATCAAAATCCATCTCAAGGTGCACAAGAAAGTTATCAAGGTCCTCCTCGAGGGCCCCCACAAGCAGGTCATCAAGGTCCTCCTCGAGGACCCCCACAAGCAGGTTATCAAGGTCCTCCTCGAGGACCCCCACAAGCAGGTCATCAAGGTCCTCCTCGTGGACCCCCAAGAGGAGGTCATTACGGTCCTCCACCAGGACCCCCAAGAGGAGGTCCTCGAGGTCCTCCTCCAGGACCACCACAAGGAAGTTACCAAGGTCTCCAAAGCGGACCCCCACAAGGAGGCCCCCTACTAGGAGGTCATCATAGTCCCCCCTGTGGACCACCACAAGGAGGTTATCAAGGTCCTCCTCATGGCCCCCTACCAGGTTATCAAGGTCCTCCACGTGGACCCCATCAAGGAGGTTATAAAGGCCCTCCCCCCCCACAAAGAGGTCATCAAGGTCCAAGCCCTGGACTGGGTCACTACCCTCCTCAATATGGTGCTGGACATTTGCCAGGATCTGCATATATTCAAGGTGAAGAACATCATCCACCAGGATCACGTAAGCCATATAACATGTCAGACAGTGGTGGACGAGGGCAGGAAGCAGAAAGAGGTAATGCAAGAGGACAGAGAGATGGAAGAGGAGGTGGGAAGGGGAAATATTATCATGATTCTGGGAGAGGAGAGTTTGGAAGTCAGTCTTCCCTGAACTCAGAGAATAGAGGCAGAGGCAGTGGCAGAGGATGGGGACAGCCATTTCGAGGAAACCGTGGAGGACGAGGAAGAGATTATGCATCAAGAGAAAACCTTTCCAGCAGTACTGCAAGCATACCATCCATCCTTGACATGGAACTAAACCTCAGAGACCCTAATCAGATTCATGGTGATGACAGAGGAAGGGCAAGAGGCAGGGGTAGGGGTAGGGGTAGGGGAAGAAGAGGCAGAGGTGAAGTCAGAGGCAACAGAGGTTACTCCAACAGAGGAAACTATTACAGAATAACCAATTTCAACCGAGAGAAATCTGCTAGTACATTAAGTGTGGCATCATCCGTTGATGCATGGGAAGATCAAGACGATCAACAAGACGATGAACAAGACGAACTACTGAAAATTGTTGAGTCGTACATAAAGAAGAAGAGAAATCGAAGAAGAAGCAAAAAAGATAACAATAAGGATGAAACCCGTCTAAAAATGTATTTAAGATTGATGATGAGGGAAATGCTCATGCATCTGAATCTGAATCTTTCAGTAGTGTGTTCAGAGGCTATCCTAGGTCAAGAGGCAGTGTTAGAGGGAGAGGGGTGAATAGTCAAAGAAGAGGTAGGGGTGGGTATGTCAGAGGAAGAGGAGTCAGGAATACAGGAGAGGCTTCTTGGAAGAGGAGGGTACAGCCTGAGAAGTCGGTTTCAAGAAGCCAATCATCAACACCCGAAGCAGGAGGCCAGACACTTGAAGAACATGAGGCTGATTCAAAATCTGATGAGGATTCTTCTGATGAAGATGCTAAACCACAAGTTCCCCACAAATCAGTCAGTACTAAGAAAAAAGGTCATGTTGCAGCAAAATTTGTAACAACTGGCAAGTTTAATAAGGCAGGAAAAGGGAAAGTATCAAGCAGGAAATCTAAAGTGACCACATCTAAGACAGTAGGAAGGTTGTTGCAGGATGTGTCCAGTGACAGTGGAGAGGAACTACCTCGAGGCTCTAAAGTGAATGATATTCTCAAAGGACTGCTGAAGGAGTATGGTAATGACAGCGAGGATAGTGTTCTTGTGGATTTGGTGAAAGGAGTTGAAGGAGAAGGTTGTACAGAAGGAGCTACAGATGGTTTGCAACAGAGGAAGAAAAGGGTGAGAAAGAAGAAAACTCCTGACCGAACCAGAACTAGCAGTGAAAGAAGTTCTGCTTCTGATGGGGGCTTACAAGCTCAGAAAATAACTGCAGGCTCCACAGCTCATCAGGATGAAGATGAGGAAGTGAATGATGTACAGAATGCCTTCAGAAATTTGCTGACTCAGTTTGGTGGTAGAGCTAAGATGACTGAATTGTTGAAGCAGAAAGAAAAGTTTCCCAAGTCTTTCTTTGACACTGAATGGCTACAAAGGCATAACAAAAAATTTCTCATATTCAAACAAAAAGGATTGATAGAGTATGTGTCAACTTACTTTCGAGAAGCAAAGTTGTGTGTATACTATAACAGTCCAAAAGGGTGCACCAACAAAGAGTGTGAATATTTTCATGTGTGTAGTGGGTTTGTAACGGAGTCTTGCAAGCCACACCTTCAAAAATGCCCTCGCACCCACAATTTCTTTGAGAAAGAAAATGGTGTTTTAGTGGAAAAACTTGGCCTGAAAGATTTTAAGAATAAAGAAATTGCTAAAGTTGTACGCTGTACAGTTCCTGAAGTTTGTAAGGAATATAACCAGTCAAACTGCCAAGAAAGTTGCTGCCCTTTTCTTCACATTTGTGATCAATATCCATGCAAACGCAAGTCATGTCAATTGGAGCATACATGCATCTCCTCAGACCACAACAAATGGGTTTTGAGCTGCTTCCATATAGTCCACTTTAAAGAATTTATCCTCATAAGAATGGTTCTCGGAAAAAACAAACCTGTAGAGGCTGCATCAGCTACAACAGAACCTAGTCAGAGAACTTCTGAAGCAAATCGTGAATCGCAGTATGCGCCGGAGCCAAAAGTTCAGCATGAAACAGCCACAAGAGCCCAATATGAACATGAAACAACTGCTCCAAATCAATCAACTGAAAAGGTTCCTCAACCAGTTCCAAGAACTCGCCCTGAACCAGCTCCAAGAACTCGCCCTGAGCCAGCTCCAAGAACTTACCCCCAACCATCCTCAAGAGCTATGTTTGAAGACCCTGGAGTACACCCTGAACAAGCTGCAAGAGCTATCCCAGAACAAGCGAACAGATACCAGCCTGAACCAGTCCTAAATGCTTACTCTGAATTAGCCCCAAGAGCTTACCCTGAACACTCTCCAAGAGCTTACCCAGAACCAGCTTCAAGAGCTTCTCCTGAACCAGCCAACATGTCCCAGGTTGAAACACATCGTAGAGCATACCCTGAACATGCTCCAAGTGCTTTCCCTGAACATATTCCAAGAGCATACCCTGAACAAGTTCCAAGAGCTTACCCTGACCCAGCCAACAGAGCTCAGTTTGAACCGGACCCTCGAGCTTTCCCTGAACCAGCTACAAGAACTTACCCTGAACAATCTCCAAGAGCTTACTCTGAACAAGTTCCAAGAGCTTACCCTGACCCAGCCAACAGAGCTCAGTTTGAACCGGACCCTCGAGCTTTCCCTGAACCAGCTACAAGAACTTACCCTGAACAAGCTCCAAGAGTTTACTCTGAACAAGCTCCAAGAGCTTACCCTGACCCAGCCAACAGAGCTCAGTTTGAACCGGACCCTCGAGCTTTCCCTGAACCAGCTACAAGAACTTACCCTGAACAATCTCCAAGAGCTTACTCTGAACAAGTTCCAAGAGCTTACCCTGACCCAGCCAACAGAGCTCAGTTTGAACCGGACCCTCGAGCTTTCCCTGAACCAGCTACAAGAACTTACCCTGAACAAGCTCCAAGAGTTTACTCTGAACAAGCTCCAAGAGCTTACCCTGACCCAGTCAACAGAGCTCAGTTTGAAGCAGACCCTAGAGCCCACCCTGAGCCAGCTCCAAGAGCTTACCCTGACCCAGTCAACAGAGCTCAGTTTGAACCAAACCCTAGAACTTACCCTGAGCCAGCTACAAGAGCTTACCCTGAACCAATTCCTAGAGTTCAACCACTCCATGTAGCTCACTATGATCGAGCACCAGAAGTTCACCGGGAACCAGTCCCTAGATCTGAGTATGAACCAGTGCCGAGAGAACACCGTCAACCAGCTGCAAACACCCACCTTGAAGCAAGGCCTGAAACTCACATGGAACCAACACAAAGGGTTCCAGAAGCAGCTTCAAGGTATCAGCAACAACCATCACCTTATGTTGAAGCTGGTCCTGTAGGGAGTGTTGTGGATATTGCTGAGGGTCAGTACCTGTGCGAGCAGCACATCTGGGATACTTGTAAGAAGGGGCATGCATGTCCCTATTACCACGCCAGTAGGAGAATACCCTACCAGTGGCAGGTGGAGCTAAAGGACTCATGGACCAACTTCCCTGAGATGGCCAATGAGAAATGCGAGAAGGCCTTCTGTGATCTGGAATCCAGTGTAAACAGGATCATTGTAAGTAGTATGGATATTTTCACTATTGTCTTCTTTTCTCTAAACAATGAATAGGTCATATGCTTATTTGCTTATAAAAAATATGCCCGTTTTCGGTTACCTGACTGACCCTATCCAAACACCACCACCCCCAACCCTAAACCTTTTTTAACCAAGTCAAAATCATGACTGGAGTGCATTTCAACTCATCATTTTCATCCAAATTGAGTATGATATTTTTATGTTATCTAGTGTATATAGGGATAAAATGGATTACACTGAATTGGCACAATGGGCTCTCACCATGCTCACTGACAAAACCTGCAAATATATAATATGAATAATGATTTGCTATGAAAATCTTTCAATTTTTCAACACACAGCAGCAGCACTACATGATATCCCACTCTTAAAGACCTTCTCAGGTGCCCACCTAGAGCTACTAAAATATGGAACAAAAAGTAAAAACATAAAAAAAGATCAAATCGACCCACTAATCCTGTTTTTGAAAAGCATGTAATAGGAAACAGACATATTTGGGGGGGGGGCTCTAGTGGTTTCTTGACAGAATACTTCCAGTTTCCTAAGCTTCAGTCCCCATGGGGATCCCAGACAAAATAGGTCGCCAGTTCTCCATGTTTGTCATCTGTAAGGATTTCTAGACAGAATTGGTCCATATTTCCCCATGCTTGTCTCCCTATGAAAATTCTCAACAGTATTTATCTTCAGTTTCAATTGTATTTGTCATTGTAGTTATTCTAGACAAAATAGGTCTCTATGACTGAGGCCATGTGGGGGGCTGAAGATACATCAAGTTCCAAATGATTTGAAAATGAAAGTTCTACTGTCAATTTTTGTAATTTCTTCAATCATAATCGTATAATTATGCACACAATTCTGTAAACATTTATAGGTTATAGTTATACAACTGTTGACTTAAAGCTGATATTTTTGCTGATAAACTTATCTATGACTAGAATAGCTTATTAAGGTAAATTCTATAACATGTTCAGCAATCGTGGAAAACAGTAGGGACCTATGGAAGAATCAGGGAGTCCTTTCATTCTTCTGAGTAGTGTATGATATTGTTCAAAACAATGCAGCACAAACTGTTTCAACTGACAAATCAGCTTTTTATGTTATTAAGTGTACATGTAAAATTGTTAACACGTTCTTACAAGTGAATCTATTCCTTGTCCCAATAGGTGATTATACTTTTTAGAGAGGTTAGTTGGTTCACGCTGCACTCAGCAATATTCCAGCTATAGGGCAGTGATTTTGTCGATCATTGAGTCTGAACAAGACAATAAAGTGATAAGCAGCATGAGCTTCAATGTACGCAATTGGAATATGATGACATGTGTCAACCAAGTCCGCAATAAGCCTCTTGTGACAAGCTTGGATTGTGAAGACTGTTTCTAACCCGGATCTTCACAGGTCTTTCAGAGAGGCAACTAACAGGACCAAATGTTCAGGCTTCCTGACTTGGTTGAAACAACATGTCATCGTGTCACAATATCTGATGCTCATAACGTTATTCACAAAATACTATTGTTTGGTCCCGAATTGATTATTTAAAAAATCTGAAATATCGGAGAGTGTGGTGTTATACAACAAACAAACAAACTTGATCTTATTCTTTCCTCATCCGTGGGGTTGGTGGGGTTGTCTGTGCTAAAAGCTTTTGCTCATCACGCTGAGGACCTGGGTTTCAATTCCCCACATTGGTGCAATGTGTGAAGTTCCCGCGCAGTGATATTGCTGGACGATTGATAAAAGGAGCATACAGACATATTCACTCGCTCAGTCCTCACCAGTGGGTAATTGTCTCTGATATTGTATTTCAGTTGAGCAGTCAGTCACTTGATATTAATCTTGACAAGATGATGGCAAGACGAAGCCTCACTGACCCGACGAGCAACGTGGTCACAGACAATGTGAAGGTACGACGACTCTCCACACGGTCCTATTGTGAAGGGGAAGGGATGTTGTCCCACTTCACATTCTGGGGCTGGTACTGGCTGGACAACAGACACAAGTGGAGTCTGTATGAGCAGGTTAGTAAAGAAGCAGTGGTGGTGGCCGCAAGTGGGTTAGATCGCTAAATTTGGTGTCTTTTGTGGCTTCAAATCCTGGATGGGAGTTAACCAAACAAAAGTACTAGAATCTGTACTTTATAGTGAGTGAGTGAGTGAGTTGAGTTTTACGCTGCACTCAGCAATATTCCAGCTATATGGCGGCGGTCTGTAAATAATCGAGTCTGAACCAGACAATCCAGTGATCAACAATATGAGCATTGATCTGCGAAGTTGGCAACCGATGAAACTGTATTTTACAGAGAAAGTGTCATCCCAAATATAACGTGTAACTCTCATGGTTTTGTTTTTTTATTTTGTTAAACATATTTGTCAGTTGGTGGTTGAAAATACCATTTCCCATTTGGCAAGATTAGGGATGTTTCAATTCACTCTCATACTCAACTGCATTCCTTCAAGAAAATTGATTCCTTAATCATGATTACTAATTTAAATGCTTAAAAATAATTTCAAAAAAGAGAGTTTTTCTCCTGAATTTGTCTTTTATTTATCAAAGTGATGTATGAAAAATGAAATATATCCAAACCAGGCAGGATAACAGACAACACACCAGTATCATGGGTATATTTCATGTGACTGTAATATAATCACTGGTCATTGTCGTGACAAATTAACACTGTCAACATGTTCAAAACATGTGAAAGAAAATATGAGGTAAGGTAAGTATTTAAATAAAATATTATGATATTATTCCACTGAATAGTACATGACATGGTGATGTTTTATGGTTTTATGAAAAATAATCTTTAAAAAAATCTACAATTGTTGTATGTATCGACCTGTGAAGATCCGGGCAAGAATTGATCTTCAGTAACCCATCGTTGTTGTAAGAGGTGACTTACAGGATCGGGTGGTCAGACTCGCTGACTTGGTTGACACATGTCATCGTATCCCAATTGCGTAGATCTATGCTCATGCAGTTGATCACTAGACTGGATTATTACAGACCGCCGCATATAACCGGTAGCTGGAATATTGCTGAATGCGGTGTAAAACTAAACTAAATCAATCGATGTTGTATGTATCATTTTTGGATATGTTGTGGATTTGCTGCAGTGTGAACAAGGACACAGTGATTTCTGTTCCCTTGAAATCAATTTGCAGTTCAGTAATAATTTTAAAATATTTCTTCATTTTCAGGATAAAAAACAGTACACACTTGAGAAGAAGCTGCTGTATGGTCAGTCAGAATATCTTTTTGAAAATGTGCTCGAGAATAACATATTCCATTACCGATTAACGTTTTCAATCACTGGAATGATGCAGAAGAATTTAGAGACTGGAACTGTCCGCCCGGTCATCAGACGGCCATTGTTTGTAGCCCAAAAGGATGTGGATGACAAGATAGTCCTGTAAGTGGTAGATGTACAAATACCTGACAACTGTGACACCTTTGGGATAATAATGGCTATTTATAGAGCGCCTGTTTCCATGCATGCTCAAAGTGCTAACACATTATTACCCTGGATAACCCAAGCTGCCTGTGAGGCGCTAGAAGTTAAACAGTCATATGACTTATCCCACCAGGTACCCATTCACTGCTAGGTGAACAGAGGCAGTTCATGAACATACTCACTTGCCTAAGGTGAGACAACATGTGTCACGTGTACTTCGTTGTGGGGCAGGACTGAAGTCCTAGAAACTCTCACGAGTCAAGCTGCCAAACACGGTCACCCATCCAACGACTTTCCGCGTTAATATTTCAGAACTGCAACTGATTTGTGACCTGGGCTCTATGCCTTTATCTCTCATAGCACAGTCTTACGACAAAACTGATAAAACTCACGCCAAACAGGGTTCATGCACATTTTGAACCCTTAATATCTAGTGGTGGTCCGATTAATTGAAATAATCGAAGATTGGTCGCAGTGACTAAACGACCAAGCAATCGATCATGTTTTCTCATAATCGAACACCAACAATTCTGGAACACTTGTTTTCATATAAGTATTTTTCACTAGTTTGGTTTTGTGTGTTACATTTCATAAGCACTACAAGCTCGTTCCAAGTCATGATTGAATTTATCTTAAAGACTCTAAGAAATTTATGTTCCTAACATACTAGTCATCCTTTAAAGATGTGAAATTTTGCCCCAAAACCCCCAAACAACTACATTTTTTGTTCCTTATGTTTTTGTGTGCATTAACAAATTTCATGAATGACGCTAACCAATTATTTTTGATGATTGTTCAGGTGTAATGAACCAATCATCAATTATGAGATTTTAACCAATTCCCAACACTATTAATATCACACAGATAGGTCTGAATACATTGTTTTGAGTCAATATGTATTTTTCTACGTTCTTTCTATGCATTTCTGCGTCGTGTAAAACTCTGGATGACCCATTCTGTTTTTGTATTCACAGCGTCCACCCATTCCTCTTGCAACAAGCCCCCCCAGGTGCCTCGCAATGTGCCCACCCACTGGGCGCCCCTCGACTTGGTCCAGTCTTTCGAACTGGTCAGTCTGGACGTGGAGGCTAACATGTACCTGCAGGTCAAGAGAAGGTTCTATGCCTCAGTGCCACAGAGTCAGTACCACATCACGGCCATCTATCAGGTCCAGAACCCCACAATGTGGGACAAGCACCTCAGGTGGGACATCTTCATCATCTGTTAAGTTTGTATTTTATATTACCCAATATGGTGATTCATAACCAGTGTCATATATATCGTATGTGCCATTACACTTGCTTACGTGTTTTACTGCACAAATGTACATGAATAAAATGGATAATAAAGACATTATTGCACTCAAGAAAGTGTGTCATATGACTTTTACAAAACTCATGCAAAATTATGTTTTGCCCTCACTCTTGCTCGTGCAATACAAAATTTCACGCTCGTTTCGTACGAGTCATGACACACTGGTTCGTGTAATAATCTCTATATATTACCTATGGTGCAATAATGTAAAACTAAGCATGAAAACTCACTGCAGGGAACACCAGAAGTTGTGTGGGGATGTGGGGATGTCTGACATTTCCAACTCGTGCAAGCTCCATTCACTGTTTGTAGGCATCGCAATGAACTAAATAGCACTAACAGGCAATGCACCGAGTTTAGGTAAACTGAAAGTACATGTGTTATGACTGGTTATCGTAACATGAACTGTACAATCATATGTAGTTTAACATAATTTTCATAATACCTAAAACACCTCAAACTGACGACACGAGAACCTGTCTGATATGAAATATTTACTCTTAGGGGTAAAAATATCTACCAGATCACCGGACAGGCTGCTTTTGAAATTTGACTGTCTGAGATGAAAATAGACCGTTCCGGACGGTCGGTCAGGCAGGAATTTTAAACGCTGATATGTATAAATATTATGCCTGCCTATTGTGGCAATTTAACTGGCACATTTTTTGCTAGAAATTTTACGGCTACACTCTTGGTCCAAATATCAGCAGGTCTAGATGAATCAGATATCATTACTGTTTTCCTGGAGTGTATCAATATACATGCATATATGAAAAAGCCTCTTTAAAACTTGTCTAGAATCGATTTTCATCAACCAATGTTTGTTAATCCTTCCAAAGGGTGTAAGGAAGACTTGGCTTGTTGTAAGAGGTGACTGATGGGATCAAATGGTCAGGCTTTCTGTTTTGGTTCATTCATGTCGTCGTATTAAAATGGCACAGGTTAATACTCTTGATGTCAGTCACTGGATTGTCTGGTGCATAGGTAATTATTTACAGAATGTCATTATACAGCTGGAATATAACTAAGTGTGGTGTTAAACAGCACACAGAAACACGTATTTGTAAACATTGTTTAAAGACTATAGCCTAAAAACAATATTTTAAAAATGTTGTGGCTCAGATTACCCTACCGACCCTTGCATTCTGGTGCTGACCCAAGGTTTTTAAGAGGTATGAATAAAATAAGCTTTCAGATACCATTGTTTTTTCTTGGCACCAACGGGGGGATATGGTCAACACCTCGTCCGTCTGGACTTTGGACTTAGTCTTAAAGGGAGAGTTGGGCTTCGTTTCCGGAGCATAACTGAAAAAACGTTCAATATATTTCTGCAAAACTTTGTAGATATATCAAACAGAACCTAAAGTGGTGCCTTTTGCTATTTGCAGATTTTTTCAGTTGATTTGTTCTTTCAAATTTATGGGGAACGGGGGGATTTGTCATCTTCTGATGACTCTTATTTTTATTTGGCCTAATTGTTTCACTTGTTTCCCAATGGTGCTATTATATATTGAACCTTTTTTCAGCCACAAGAGGTCAATGGAACATACTGCACAGAGAGAAGGTTTGACTCAGCCAATCAATGAACAGCAACTTTTTCATGGCACTGATTCAGAGGAGGTTGTTCGTGGCATCTGTGTCAATGGCTTTGACTTCCGTGTAAGTGGCAAGAATGGTACTGTGTATGGAAAGGGGGCATACTTTGCCAGAGACGCCTCCTACAGCAACAACTACACTAACATCAGGGGTAAGAAGTACATGTTTCAAGCCAAGGTACTGGTTGGTCGGTACACGAAGGGCACAGCAGACATGACACGACCTCCACCAAGGGCAGGTCACGAGCTATATGACTCCTGCGTCAATGACATTAATCAACCAACCATATTTGTCACCTTTGACCAAAACCAGTCGTATCCCGAGTTCCTGATTGAATATGAAGACAAAGCAAGTTTACCGCCCTCCCAATCCAATCAACCTCCAACAATGGCACAAGTGCAACCAGTACCGGCACAAGCGTCACCAACAGCAGGAGTGCCACTGTCATACCCAACGTCCTACGGCATGCCTGCCTATCCGCACCACACATACACTTCGTCTCCAACCAGTCCGGGGAATTTGACACCACAACAGATGTCGTATAACTACTCACCAGGAAGTGTCAAGCCGCCTGTCAAAAAGTCTCCTGATAGCTGTGTTGTCATGTAAAGGATATGAAAACAAATGTCCTACTTCAGCAGAACATGTGTCAAACACTCTCTCACAAAGAGGACGTTAAATATCATCAAAAGGAAAAAGAAGAAAACAAAGATGGCGAAAAGTCGTCAGCAACTTTGAAATTTCAAGACATAGTGAAGTCCTGCTTTCCAGACAACAGCTGTAGACTTGAACCTGAAAGGTTTTCAGCTGAAGTGATAAGATAGGAAATCACAGGAAACTCCCCAAAAGATCCGCATGAAATTCTTCTTGCCCCGATATACCTGTAATATTGGACAAGCTGACTTGTGTCAGTTTCCACTTCACACTTCAGTTAAGAGACCATGCCTCCATGGGTCAATGTACAAAGGGACATAACTCCCTTCTAATTGTTTGTTGACCACAAAAATGTTTAAACTGAATGACATTTCTGGGAGCGTGTGCTGTCTAGATTAACATGGCTTCACTGCATATGTAACATGGTGACTAATATTGATGTTATTCCACAGGGGAAATATTTTGCAGAAGAACACTGTTACAGTTAATTGTTATCCCTTATTTGATTGTGATGTATCATGTATTATTATGTATTCAGATGTTTGTATTATGTCTGACAACTGAAATTCCACATTCCCTTTATGTTTCTAGGAATTTATTTTGTTTATGGATGTTTTAGGAGGCCAAAAAATGTCTTTAATCTACAAATGCCCACCCTCCCCATCCTTAATGAATGATCCAATGGCTACACTGGTTGTCATTAAAGAATCATTTAATATAATTATAGCAGACTCTACAGAGCACTCACATGCATTCACCCACATGTAAACACACAAACACAAACAGACAAAATCCAGAGATTTTGAGAAAAACAATCTCTGAGGGTGTATGAGACTGCAGAGATAGTAAAGTAATACAGAAGTTTGTTGTTTTAAATACCGGGGTACCTTATTTATGTAGCAGTCCTTGACTTGAATGAACATATCCATACTTATTCGTTATGCATTGCAATGGTACAAGGATTGTATGTTGGGGCATGGTGTTGATACAAGATGGTATATGTATGAAAGGAGCACATGGTAGTCTGGGATAGCACCATAGTGTTCTCATTTACAGCTCAACAAATCATGTTGTTTGAATTAATTTTGCATCAGTGGCTCCATTAATCAATTGATTAAATACATCCTAAATGTATTTTGACTAGATCTCAAGAGTGAAGATGGACATAGCATGCGTCTCATTTACACTACTGCGTGTTATCGCAGCTATAATAGAGACTGCTTTATTAAGACCAGGTAATTTTTATGAGGTCTTTTGTGCCATACCTGTGACAATCTTCAACTCTTTAGGAATGGAACCCTTCTTTGTGCTGTGCCACCATGGGAGACATATTTTTATACATCCACTGAAATGGTTTGGGGGTCAGCTCAAGTTAAGTTTCAAAAGCATTTGCCTTTCTATATTGAAAATGATGGCATTGGGGTAGAATGCCACATAGGGATATTTTGTTTTTGACCATGGTTATATTTGGATTGGCCCCGGGACTTTGTTAAGAGTGGATGAAAGGTCTCCCCTGGTTAGTATTTACACTGGACACAGATTTCCTGTGCATTTTACAGTTATCTAACCTATTGCACTGGTGGTTCTTCATGCCTGAAGAGCAGTATTCATTCCGGAGTGGTTTGGAGCTTTGACTAAGTCTTCATTCTGTTCATGTTTGATTGTACTGCATCTTCGTCAGCTTTAGAAAGGGTTCCGGACTGAGATGATGCTAAGTCATGATTCTTTTGATTGTCTGAACTTCCAGGCTTCATGAGTTAGGCTGACTGATTCCTTTTGTATGTGTCAAAGGACGATTTTCATGATGTGATGTTTTATGTCTTGTTTATTTATTCAAGGTTGTTGTATCTGGTCCTGTGTTATACACAGAGGTTACAGTTACAAGGCTGAGTTCAGCTATGTAGGTTACAGGTGATTGGTAGATAGGTGACCAGATCGGCATGCTGAGAGTTTCTAGTATGTCAATCTAAATATTTTGATTATTTTGGCTATTTTATGACTGATTCCTTTGATTATTTAAGTGATCACTATGTTAATCTTGTATGTGTCAAATGAAGATTTTTGCAATGTTTTGTTATGTTTTGTTCACAATTGTGGAATTTGGTCTCTTTTTGCTCATATTTATTCAAGTTTGTTGTATCTTGCCCTGTGTTACAGCTACAGGTCAGAGTTCAGGAGGTTATAGAGGGTTGGTAGATGGCTGACCTGATCAGCATGCTGAGAGTTTTCGGTATGTCAGTCCTTCCCTAGACTGAAACACAGTCTATATGTGGTGTTTCCATAGCCTGACAGTTCTAAATATGCCTCTGGTCACCCAACAGTGAAATGACTTCTGGTAGGATGAGATGGAAGAGGGACTACAGTCGAACTTCATTTATCCGGACATATCCGGATGACGAGGTGTCAGGTTAACTGGATCAAACAAGCAAAACGTATTGACGATGTATATTGAAAATTTATTCATGTACAATACAATTACAATGTAGTTAATCCTAATCCTACGCCAGGAGGAATCACAAACAGTCAAAGCTTTCTTGACCCGCGACAGGTTTATTACGTGAGTATACAAAAGACGCGCCGGAAGAACGACGCAGATAACCCGGCTGGAACATGACGTAAGGTATTCCTAACAACTACTGGCGGGACCACTTTTTCTTCTCTTTAAGTTGATAATGAGGAACTGGACAAAAGGCGAATGTCTAATGGAATGAACACTGGAATGGCTAACTGCTTGACAAGAATTTAAATGTCCATGAAAAGTGTCTGGAATGGAAAGGAGGGAAACACAGAATTAAAAGTCCATATAGTAATCATCAAATCTTGTTGGTGGTCTCCTTGAACGTGAGGTGCGTCCGGCTGGAGTTACAGCACAGTCTCTGTTTGGGTGCTCGGACGTGGGTACTTCAGAATTGATACCTCCACAGGGTGTTTGGTCCTCAGGGGCATGAATCGAGGGAGGTGGCTCATCTTCCATACTGGGAGGAGGTGTGTCACCGGGGGTCGGGATATCTCCGTGGGGACATCCGGCAAGCGAGGAGGGGGGCAGTCGCTGAGAGGTGTAGTGTCGTCGTCATGGTCAGAATCACAGTAGTGGGGCTGGTACTGAGGTATTTGACTTGGTGGCCTATAACAGTCTGTTACCTTGACACAGTAGGATGTGCTGCGAAGTTGGGAGCCAACAAACTTCATGATGTTGCACCAAGCGCCGTCAACAGAAACAACAAGATATCTCTTACGACCATAAGACCTAGTACCGTCAGAATGCAGGTAAACCAGATCACTGACAGTGATGTTAGGTGTAGGCATCGTTTTCATCAGCGGGTTCTTGGATTTTTCGCTATGGGGATGGTTCAACTGTCTGCTTTCATGCTGTTTGATGATGAATTCCATATGAGATATGGAAAGTTGAGACTGAGTGAACTGGTCCCTTTGTGTGAGCATCTCCCTAGCTGACAAACCTTGAGAGCGAATGCACAAGTTCAACCTTGCTATGGCTGTGGCCAGAGACAGGGGGGTAGTGGCACCACCAACAGGGTCTTGAGACAACAGTTCTTTTTCTACCTCCTGGATCGCTGTCTCCGCCACAGGGTTTTTGTTACGAGTTTTGGTTCTTCCTACCTCCAAACAAAGATTGTGTTTTTTGAGTAGGGGGTCGTTCGTTAGAGTCACAAACCCAGGAGCAGGATCCACTCTCACTACACTAGGGGGGCCAGCAGTGGTGTAGGAGGTTACATATTCACGCACAACAAGAACAAGTTGCCTCTCCCTTTTCATTACATCAGCTGCAAAAAGAAGACCGATAGATTGTGGAGGATGACCTGTAGACTGTTGCTCCAACGTGTGAGGAATCCTTGCAAGAGAAGAGCACACATGACATGAGGTGGTGAGCTCGACAGCTTTGTCCAAATCTAGGGCAAAGAAGTATCTGTGTATGACAAGTTTAAGCTGGTGGCATGACGGATGGTCGAGTTGGAGGTGTAGGGCTGTCACAAGGCCGTCAAGTACATCACGAGGCAGTACGATGCACTCACGAGTTGAAGCCAAGGACTCATTCTGTTGCACAATTAATAACCCATCCCGAGCAATAGTTACCACGTTTAAGTAGCGCTTTATGTCCTTGACATCAGTCGGCTTCCTGGATAGTCGAGTTCCTTGTGCTAGGTGAGAGTGTACACGTCGGAGATCGTGATTCTCTGACTGAATGGCATGCCATGCCGCTCTGTTTATGTAGGGCAGTTTAGAGTCCCCATTGACAATATCCTGGGCAGATACTTTCAACACGGAGGCTTCCTCAGACTGTCTAATGAACGTACACACTTGGCAAAGTTCATCCTTGCATTTGGCAGCATTTCTACTGGCAAAGTCTGAAGGGATGTTGGCACTACCAGATAGATGGCGGCCGGAGGCTTGATAACGGCTTACTGTTGAGAGAAATGTCGCTACACGTGGGCTGGCTGAAAACTCACCACAACACAATTTCTCATATGCTTGGACGCAGGGTTTGCTGTCGGTGAGTATACAAGCCTTGTGTTTGGACTGGATGAGGTACGTTGAGAAGTGTTTAGTTGCTACACCTATGGCGAGAGCTTCGAACTCACAAGGTAGCCAAGTTATCTGTCTGCCGCGGAGCTTAGCACTGAAGAAACCAGCGACTCTTGGCTTATCCTGTCTTGTCACATGTAGTGTGGCACCGATCCCATTACACGTCACTGAACCATCGGTGACAATCCATAACTGATCAGCTGGGCGAGGTAGAGTTATTGTTCTCGTAGGGTTGAGAGCAGCCTTAGCAGCTGTAAAGGTGTCCAAGAGGATATCCGTCCATGCAACTTTGTCTTGCGACTGTTTGTCTGCCTGGACATTATCCAAAAGTGCGATGTACGATGCACAGTTAGGAAGGACACATGCCAGGACCTTGTATGCCCCAATAAAGGATCTCAAACCTGTAACACGCTCTGGTGGGGGACAGGAAGCAAGTGCAGATACAAGATGAGAGCAAGCCGTGAGGATACCTTCCTCCCATCTCCATCCAAGGATACTGACAGAAGATGGTGCGATGAAGGTCTTCTTGGCTGACAAGCAGAGGTTGTTTCGGTAAAGTGCGTCTAGAACACGACGCCAATTAGACAGGAGTTAAGGGATAGAGTTGGCACCACAATAAAGGTCATCAGCCAGTTTAACCAAAATGCCCTCTTGTTGAACCCGGCACATGAGTTCCTCCAGGGCCCGTTTCACAAAGCTCTCGTAGGCCTAAGATCTCGTAACTTTTCTCGTAGCATTCGTACCTCCTATACTGTAACATGCCCATGGCACAGCGGGTATAAACACGTACTCCTTTGAATGGAGTAACGACACCACAGTACTTCATAGAGTTCTTGGCGAGAGGTATCTGATGGAAGGCAAGCGTAAGGTCAGTTGTAATGATATATTTCCATGAAGCGATGTGTCTAAGAGTGGAGTCTACATCAGGCATGAGAGAGGGCACGGGTTTGCTATACCTGCCAACGTCCGAGAATGCTGTAACTAAGCGAAATCCACCGCTTTGTTTCTTGACCAGGAAGGAGGGATTTAGGTACCGGTATTCCACGGAGACTCCTATATCTTCAGGACGTGCAAATACACCCATGTGTTCGAGGTGGTCAAACTTTTCCTGAAGTTCAACGAGTTTGTCTCTTGAATACTTGGGAACACGTCCTTTTCGTTGAGGTGGTTGAACAGGTCCCATATTCACCGTTGCCTTAAAAGGTCCTGAAGCGTTGTTATATCCGCAGATAGTAGGGTTGAACACCTCATCATATTCTTGTAAAAGTTAATGGAATTTTTCTCTCATGTCATCCGAGAACTGGTGATCTGGATCAAGGTGAAAAGGGTCATAAAGGGGCCCGAAGGATGGGTTTCTTGCTTGTGATGGCTAGTGGGCTGAAGTTGAGACGAATTGGTGTCAGACGATGTTGAAATGTGGAGAACTTGGCAGACGTGGTCATGGTGTTTCAGCATCTGTAGCTGGTTGGTCAAGTTGGGTATTCGGATTCTGCCGGAGACACTGGTAATCACTTCCGGGGCAGGCCAGACAGATCTGCATGTACTATTATCTAAGCGTGGTTGAATGGCAAGTTCTTTGTCTGGAGCTTTCTTGACCCGCGACAGGTTTATTACGTAAGTTTACAAAAGACGTGCCAGAAGAACGACGCGGAGAACCCGGATGGAATATGATGTAAGGTATTCCTAACAACTACTGGCGCTAATTAACATGTGTTTTCGTTACTGATGAGATGTTCTCACACCTGCCAAATCCTAATTAGCAACTGAAGTGACTGAAGTCCCTAGTGTTTTGATGGGTAATTAATCAATTCACATCAAACGCCTGCCGAGAGAGTTTAAAAATGAAGTCGTGCGGTACACATACACATGCGTACAGATCTTTTCGTTCTTTTTTCAATGGAAGTATATGGGATTGGATTGAAAATTCTCTGTACAGGTGCGGAAGCACAGGATCCGGCTATGCGAGTACAATCACTGAAGGTAAGTTTCAATTCACCTAGAAATCATCCGGAAGGCGGGGTTCTCAGTTCTAGGTGTGGACAGTGGTGCCCAACAGTTCTGGGTGTGGACAGTGGTTCCTCTCAGTTCTAGGTGTGTACAGTGGTTCCTCTCAGTTCTGGGTGTGGACAGTTGTGCCCCACAGTTCTGGGTGTGGACAGTGGTTCCTCTCAGTTCTAGGTGTGGACAGTTGTGCCCCACAGTTCTGGGTGTGGACAGTGGTTCCTCTCAGTTCTGGGTGTGGACAGTGGTTCCTCTCAGTTCTAGGTGTGGACAGTGGTTCTAAGTGTGTACAGTGGTTCCTCATTTCTGGGCCCCACAGTTGTTCCACAGGTGGGTGTGGACAGTGGTTCCTCTCAGTTCTCGGTGTGGACAGTGGTTCCTCTCAGTTCCAGGACAGTGGTTCCTCTCAGTTCTAGATGTGGACAGTGGTTCCTCTCAGTTCTGGGTGTGGACAGTGGTTCCTCTCAGTTCTGGGTGTGGACAGTGGTTCCTCTCAGTTCTAGGTGTGGACAGTGGTTCCTCTCAGTTCTAGGTGTGGACAGTGGTTCCTCTCAGTTCTGGGTGTGGACAGTGGGTTGTGGACAGTGGTTCCTCTCAGTTCTAGGTGTGGACAGTGGTTCCCCTCAGTTCTGGACAGTTGTGCCCCACAGTTCTGTGTGGACAGTGGTGCCCCACTCAGTTCAGTGTTCCCCACAGTGTGTGGACAGTGGTTCCTCTCAGTTGGGTGTGGACAGTGGTGCCCCACAGTGTGGACAGTGGTTCCTCTCAGTTCTGGGGTGTGGACAGTGGTTCCTCTCAGTTCTAGGGTGTGGACAGTGGTTCCACTCAGTTCTGACAGTGGTTCCTCCTCAGTTCTGTGGACAGTGGTTCCTCTCAGTTCTGGGTGTGGACAGTGGTTCCTCTCAGTTCTGGGTGTGGACAGTGGTTCCTCTCAGTTCTGGGTGTGGACAGTGGTTCCTCTCAGTTCTGGGTGTGGACAGTGGTTCCTCTCAGTTCTGGGTGTGGACAGTGGTTCCTCTCAGGTGTGTGGACTGGTTCCCTCTCAGAGTGTGGACAGTTGTTCCTCTCAGTTCTGGGTGTGGACAGTGGTTCCTCTCAGTTCTAGGTGTGTACAGTGGTTCCTCTCAGTTCTGGCTGTGGACAGTTGTGCCCCACAGTTCTGGGTGTGGACAGTTGTGCCCCACAGTTCTGGGTGTGGACAGTGGTGCCCCACAGTTCTGGGTGTGGACAGTGGTGCCCCACAGTTCTGGGTGTGGACAGTGGTGCCCCACAGTTCTGGGTGTGGACAGTGGTTCCTCTCAGTTCTGGGTGTGGACAGTGGTTCCTCTAAGTTCTGGGTGTGGACAGTGGTTCCTCTCAGTTCTAGGTGTGTACAGTGGTTCCTCTCAGTTCTGGGTGTGGACAGTTGTGCCCCACAGTTCTAGGTGGAAGATAGGGGTACAATTAATATCTGCCGTCAACTGTTTGTGGAGAAATTGGTTGACAATGGAAGATAGGGATTTAATTAATATCTGCCGTCCACTGTTTGTGGAGAAATTGGTTGACAATGGATGATAACTATGAATGAAATATCTACCATTCACTGTCTATGGTGAAATCTTGACAAAGCAAATTATATGACATTTTCAGATGATTTCACTGAAAAATTTCGTTTGCTTAATTAAATTTTTTAGTGAAATAAAACAGATCAAAAAATAAGCATGAAGTGTATAATAGCTTTGAGCTTGATAACCTATATTTCCATCTTATACAACAATGCTATGAAAATGTCTCTACAGTAAAACTCCAATTATCTGGACTCTGACAGTCCACAATGTCCAGACTGGTGGAATTGTACTAAGGGACATAACTCTGTTCCTCTTATTTCATAATATGGGAAGTAACTTTGTGCGTGAAAGTTATGCTGGTCCTATGGTCCCTGACTAGTAAAAACTCATCAGTGCCACTAAATGATAAGTCTGCATTGATCCTAGTTGCCAGTGAATTTTGTATTGATAGTTAAGTAAATCTACGAATGTTCTTTGGACCAGTGAAATACAGATAGGACCACTAATTATTGTCCACTCACTGGTCCTGTGGGAAATTTTGAAAGGTTTCTTTCCCTGTAACTCTGTTCCTGTCATTTGTTATCTATCTGTAATGCTGGGGGATGTAGTCGACGCCTCGTCCATCCGTAATCATTTTGTTTCCAGAGCATAACTCAAAAACCGTTCCATATTTTTCAACAAAACTTGGTAGATATATCAAACTGAACCTAAAGTGGTGCCTTTTGCTATTTACAGATTTGTGATTTTTATTTTTATTGGTTTCCATGGACGTTTTGGACTAAAAAAATCAAGTTCAACTTTAAGTAACTGTCAGATGGATGATTTGCTCTTTCACATTTGTGGGGGCCGGGGGGATTTGTCATCTTCTGATGACTCTTGTTTGAGGTTTGTTAGCACCATGCTCATGGATATCACCAGTTGTTAATATCTGAGACGTGCATCACTATGGGCTTCGTACCTCGACAAGCTGACATGCTGTGATGTACAGTTCCAAATGGCATTCAACCCTCTCATTCAACCACTATTTAACTGAGAAGAGTTGTCTGGAGTTTCGAGTTTCAGTGTTTATGTAATCCGGTGATTGGCATTTCGATATATGCTTGATAGGTTGGTATCCATGAAATTCAGTGATTGCATATTTTGCTTGATAGACTGATATTTGTGTAACTTAATTATTGGCATTACTGTATATGCTTGATAGACTGATATTTGTGTAATTCAGTGATTGCATATTATGCTTGATAGACTGATATTTGTGTAACTTAATTATTGGCATTACTATATATGCTTGATACACTGTTATTTGTGTAATGTAGTGATTGCATATTATGCTTGATAGACTGATATTTGTGTAACTTAATTATTGGCATTACTGTATATGCTTGATAGACTGATATTTGTGTAATTCAGTGATTGCATATTATGCTTGACAGATCAGTGCATATTTAGTCCAGTTAGGGGCAGTACATTATGCCATGGGTCAGGATCCCATAAAGGCTCTCAGAAGTGCTATTTAACTTAATATACCCGGTATGCTTGATTGGCTTCCTTTAAGTTTATATGCCAAATGACAGTCTGTTTGATTCTATTTCAGTGCTAAACTTCCATTATTGTGCAACTTGTATGTATTTTTCATTTCCTGTGAACCATGTTATTTTTGTGCATGTTTAATTTTATCATATTAAAAAGGATAATGTTTTGAGAATTGTGCAGGCAATGAAGGTGGCAAATCAGCCCATAAATGAAAAAAGATAAAATCACCATTTAACGTGAGAATACATAAAGGGACTGGCCATTTGCTGGTTTTACTGTTGACCCACCCTTTCTTCCCTCACTAACACACCTACAACAAATGACTGGTCCCTACAGCACCATCAAGCTCCCATGATGCCTCATCAGATGGCTGTGTGCAGGTAGACAGATCAAGGCACGTGGGCCCACATTTTCCTTGAAACTTTCATTTACCACCAAATGTGTACAGTCAGTTATATTTGTCATTGAAAACCTTAACTCCAGTTTAATTTTTCAATATTTCAAGTTAAACCTGTCACTACTATGATATTACAAGCTGAATATGATTGTAAACAATTTGACTACATGGTCAAAGGATTGTACGAGCCGAACATTGAGTCCCGCTTTTGACATGTCACAATTTTTTCACCATTGGTTACTTCAGAATTGCCTTCCAATTCTTTTGCCATTATGGACACCATTTTGTTTATAACTCAGTATATTGCAAATATATCTAAAATCATTTCTTACAAACATACAAACTGACACGGCAACAAGTAAACAATGTTTATGACTTGTAAGTAGCAACAATAAAAATATTTATGTTTTTAAAAAAACAAATCCTCCCCAAACAGTGATCAACAAACAACAAACTGAAGACAGCAGTACGACATCATTTTGTGCAATAATGGAATACAAGCACCACTCATTCTGTTATCAGCCAATCAGGAATCAGCAGTTTGTTAGTGACTGTTGCCTAATTTGTATGGGGTGTGGAGGGGGTTATGGAAACAGCTGTAAAAGTTATTGCTTTGTTAGCTAATAAAATTCCACAGAATCGCCTGCAAATGTTTATAAAGACTGATTTCAGTAAAATGTTTTATTAGAAAATTTGGGGCAGTTCAGACAGGGTCACTTGTGACAACCAGCAAGTGATGTCATTTCTGAATTTTGTCTGCCCTTTCAAATAGCTAGATTTTTAAATACGTATGATTATACAAGTCTCCTTAAAAATTAAACAGAACAAAAAAACATGGTTTACAGTTTGTTTGTTTGTGTATTTATTGGGTTAATTTCTTGTGATTTGGTTATTAAAATGTCAACTGGCTGGAGTTGCGTTGTTTCTTTTTTAGATTTTATCTTGAGTGAGTTGGGTTTAGTTTTAAAAAATATTCCAGTTTATGTCACAGGTATGTTGAAAGTGAATTTGGTTTAATGTCACTTTTAGCAATATTCTAGCAATATCACGGTGGTAGTGGTGGGGGCAGAAAAGGGCTTCACACATTGTACATGAGGGGAATCGAACC